CCCCCCCCCCCCCCCCCCCCCCCCCCCCCCCCCCCCCCCCCCCCAACCCCCCCCCCCCCCCCCCCCCCCCCCCCCCCCCCCCCAATATGACGACGAAGATGAAGAAGAAGAAACAACAGAATATGTGTGAAAGACAATCTATCGAAAGATTACATGAGATAAATTCAATTCCATTTTTAAATTAAAGTCTTAAGCGCAATCCTTGAGCTTTATTACTAATTCTATGGTGTCACTTATCTTCAATATATATATAATATATCTGCCGAGTAAAAAAAAAAGGGAATAAATATATTTCTCAATAGGCATAAAACCCAAACCCTTTCAACACTAATTATGCGTACGCGTACGCAGTCGAACAGTCACCACAACAGCTGTCTAGAGATATCCACCACCATATCAGAAAACATCCATTGAAGACTAACTAGGCAGAAGATGACGAAGCAGTTACTGCTTGTTTCAATATCATCCTATCATCAATATCCATTCAACGAAGAAGAATAACGATAGACGACGAGTTTGCCTTGGAATGTGTATATGTCCTGCTAAAGATGATTGATGGAAGTACAAGAAGAAAAAAGAAAATGAGATAACATGAATAGAATAGATGAAGACCCATTGTTTCTACTCTCAGCACGAGTTGAACCATTAATAAAGGTTTTTTTTGTTGTTTAAAATTAGTCGATCTGTCAATCAGAGTTTTGATTTCCTGCTGACATGACAGAAACATGCAATAGAATAAACACAGGTGCTTGCGAACAACTGGTCAGTAGTATATATACTTAACAAAAAAACTTACGTTACGTGTCTGTCTACTGTAAAATCTCGTTATCTACTGGTATAAGCTTGTGCATATTTTTCTACTCAATTTTTCTCTCTTTTTCTTAAGTGTCTATATTTTCTTCTTCGCGCACTCCCTCTCTCTCTCTCTCTCTCTCGCTGCGCTCTTTTCTCTGTGACGCTACTTTTTCTTTTTTTTTTTTTGACGTTTATTGTTCTCTCTCTCTCTCTATTTTACTGTTCTCTTTTTCTTTCATTCAATTGGATTATGATTACTTTTTCTTTTGTTAACTCGTTTTGAAAAAAAAGAAAGAAATGGAATTTGTCACACTGCTATGTATTCGTTTGTACCCAATCAGAACAAAGAATTCATTGTTTTGAAATGCTCAAAAGAAATAAGGCAGAATAAACAGCAACATACTTCAATTTCGATCTGTTTGTGTATATTAAAGAAAAAGGGTTTCTACAATATTATACATCAAGGGAAGGAGAGCGAATCACTCATTCACTTAATCGAAGTGCGAAGAAGCGAAACGAGTACTATGTACAACAACAAAAGACTACAAGTGTGTAACGACATGTGATGAAATGTCATAGCTGAAGAAATAGTTAGGAGAAAGAAAACTGAAAAAGAAAAGTAAAATGAAAATGAAAATTGAAGGTTTGAATTTACAAGTAGACATAGATAATAAATGTCAAAATTGACATATTCTATATATATATATATAACAAGATTATACGACATGGACTACAATGAGACAAAATATCCTAAACAAAACCATAAACAAATGTATTTCGAAGAGACACGATGTAAAAGAAATAAAAAAAATGCGAAAGAAGCGAATAAATCGTCTCACTAAAATAGTATTCTCTCTTACACTCACTCACTTACATTGCTTGGTCACTTGAAAAGAAATCAATCGTAAATTGTGTACGTCTATTTTCTTTGAACTAAGAAAACGATACACAAAACAAAATCCAAACTTAAGTATAAACTAAAAACTAACTAGCAAACATGTTCCGAATCATTTCTCGGTCTCATCCATCATGCACTCCAATTCAATGGATCACTTAAAATGAGTTGGAAAAGAAGATGAAGATGGTGACGATGAGTTCGTTTTCTCTGTACTGTTAAAAAACAATTAGAATGAAGGGGGAAAACCCTACAAAGGTTGTCTAGCTATCTATATTTATTCTCCTACGTGTGTTTCCCAACGGACTATCGATCCGAAATGTCATCGATTGTCGTTGATACGTATTGATTATAGAAACGAAAGAAAAGTGACGGAGAGGAGGTGGCGGAAGAAGGCTATCCATTCATTATGTCACATCTCATCCTCTAACAAACGTAAAAAAATACCCAACACTAGAAGAATAAATACACGAACACCCTTGGGGCGTGTTCAATTGTCTTTCTCTCTCTTATATATGAGAGTGAGAGAAAAAAGTAAAAACGTCAATAGGAGAGAAAAAGAGCTCGCGGTAAAATACCATTTAACTTCAATTATAAGCTGAACCGATGAAAAGTGTACATATATATATATATATATATACACAATAGAGCCAATATTTTACACTTGGCTGCTTTTTTTCTATCCATATACAATCAAACAATAAGTCTTTCTAATGCATATTTAGAGTATCTAAGGTATTTTGCATGATGTGAAGAGACCATTACTTTCTTGGCCTCGTTCTTTCGCATTTAACTAGACTCCTGTCATCGTTCCCACATTTCTTATCATCTGTCTACATAATAGAAATTCACTTTTCTGCTGTCTGCTTTGCGTACTTGATACACATATGCATTACTGTAATTGGTTTGGGCCCATGTTAATTCGCTTTTCATCAATAATAACAATTAAATATAGAAGAAAAAAGACAGGGGAACGGCGCTTGGATCAGCTGAGTAAAAAGAGCTATCATTATTATCTTCAACAACAATGATCATGATAAATAATCGACCTAGCACATGGCTCGCATCTTTATTCAAGCGAATATATAACAATGGCGAACACATTTTCTAATATTTGATTACCAGCTGTTTCCTCAACGAATATTCATATGACAAAGAGAGTTGCTCAATCGTATTGACTTTGAATAGCCTGCTGTCACCAACCGATGACGGATAAACGCGTGCGACACAATCATTCAGCTACTTTGACGCTTTTCTTTCTGTTAGTTTTTTTCTCTTCTCTCTCCTCTTCTGTCAACGAAACGTTTGTATACGTGTATACTATTTACTATTTGGATATGTTTTTGATAAGAGACGACAAAGAAGAACACAAAAAACGTCAAATGCAAAGAACAAAGAAAGAACAGAGATCAACAAAGGTTGACAAATTTTTGAAAGATAAAGGTAACTCAACGGCTCACTTCAATTTAACATAAATGAAGATAAGGGAAAAAAACACTTTTTTCATAATTAAATATTTCAGCATAAACACTTGTCTTACGTTACTTAATGAATATTGATACATAAAAGCAAAAATTTACATCAACCGTCAATCTTTTCGTTGAGTCACAACTAGTATTCGTTGTGAATTGTTACTTGATGCTAATATGTTTCTCTAATCAATAGCAGTCTAGCATTCAACAGTTAATAACAACAAATATATCAAATACATTATTTGTCGATCATATTAATTTATAACAAGCAAAAATAATTTCATATCGAACAGCAACGATGGAAGTTAGCAATCAGGTGTTGCACTTATTGATAAGGCAGCAGATGATCATCTTTACGGTTTATTAGCTATATATCAACTTAATGAACGTGATATATATATATATATATATATTTATATGAAAACTTAATTTATAGACATTTACATGTCGATAAAAAAACATCTTGACGTTTGTATATGTTCACTAGACATATGTATCCTTATTCGTGTACGCACACTAACAACTATTGAATATACAAACAATAATTAAATCTACACTTAGATTCTAATGAAAAAAGTCAAAAAAGCATTGCAATTTTTTGTCATTATTCTAAAGTCACAGCTATCACTTCGATATACTACTATAGAATCTTTTACGGAACAATAAGACTCATCAATAAGAAAGAAATGGCAATCTTACTCACCGAGTTATATTGAATTCAATTTACTCTTTATACGCATATTATATATTCCTTACTCTTCTCCTTTCCTCTCTGTCTCTCTCTCTCTCTCTCTATGCGCCCTCATTTACGTACGTTTGCAGTACTCATCAATATGGATCCTCATGCATGTGATCTTTTACGCGCCACCACGGTAATGCGCCAGTGATGATTGCATCGGCATCCAACATAGAGAGAGAGAGAGAGCAACATAACGTTCTATTTCAGATGAAACAAAGAGCGAACAATGTAAATTAGTAATTCAGTGATGGATATCTTTTTTTATGCGATCTTCGTTGCGTTTCAATTATTATTCTTTTTCCTTCTTGCTTTCCATATAGATCCGACGACAATATCTTCCCTATTGTACACAATCTTAATTCACTCCTATCAACACTTCTACCAGTAAGGAGCAAATCGGAAAAATGTGTATCTATCGGCATCGTCATCGGTTGAAATAACAATGCACACCAAGAATAAAGAAGCAAGCAGAGAGAGATCTGTCAAACAGACAAGACAAAGGCCTGTCAGAAAGCTTATATATGTACACAATAAGAAAAGATGTAGCGAGCGCGTGGGCGAGTCGTTGATGATTGATGAAAACACCAGTCGAAATCATGGAGACGGGATTTGACATAAATGTGACAACATCTCTTTGAATGACAAATAGATAGACAAAAGCAAAAAGTTTTTCTTCTGACTTAACAACAATTATATCCTTTAGACCAGATGGTATTGTCTCATTATCGGTAACGACTGTTCTTGTTTTGACAGCAATCGAAACTTGAGCGAGCGGATAACAACCCGAAAAATAAAAAGAGGAACTTCAATATGTTTCTATGTCTACTTAGTCCTTGATTATCAATATCGCATTAGAGCAATCGATCTAGCTTATGCAATTATCATTTCTATATGTAGAGCTGTTCAAAACGAGTTACCCGCTGACTTTTACATCACCAATATGTTCTTAGTACGTTTTTCTTTTATGATCTTCTTGTAATATAAAAAAAAATAATAATAATAATTGACAACAATAGGCTATGTGTCAAGATCGTCCAATAAATGTGCATATGTATGTTGAGTTCTCAGCATGCGTAAATATCACGACCTATCTCATGCATGGTCATTTGAAAAAAAAAAATTCTGCCTCTTCTCTTTACGATTTGCTTTATCGGCATGTCGGCAATTCAGCTGTCATTATTTGAGTTTTATCTTACTTGAAGTTTTTGTTTTGTCATTAATATTGGCGTCAATATCTTGTTGCCAATGTCGTATAGATTCTGAAAGACAGCAAGTGCTGTTAATAATTGGCCATCTCGACATGCTAATAGTAGCTGCTTATCTCTTTGACATGTGCTTATGCGATTGCATGCACATAAAGAATATAGAGGACAGAGCGAAAATGAAATGATGAATTATATGCCACAAACACGCGTCGACTGAAATCACTGTAAGTATGGACAGGCAGCTATAAAAAAAAATACACAATACTAACAGGGAGAGAGAGAGAGACACTTATGACGTCGATTTTCGTATCTTATCGTAATAGTTGCTGTTCTCTCTCTCTCACTCTGTTTTCACTTTCTTCATCTTTTTCTTTATTTCTCGTCACTACATCATTCCTCTCTAGTGTGCACGCGGCGTACAAATATGTATACATGTGTACATATATGCATAATATATATATAGAAAAAAACTGATTGATAGACAGACAATCCTTGTCAACCGTTCATTGACACTCATTTGACTATCGAATGATAGACACATCGAGGTCACGAGAGACTTACGCATATGTAATTCACATATTTGAACACTGCATAATACATTGAAAAATATTTATATGCATATAATCAATGTTCAATTGAATAAATGTCAGTCAAACTCATAGAAAATTTTCTCATGAAAAAAATAATCATAACCTTAAATTTCTGTTTTCTCATCTTTAAAAGAACATCAGATTATCTCTTATATTTTGTTTGCTATTATTATTATTATTATTATTATTATGTCAAAAGACTAATTATTAGATAATAATGTCGGTATATTGACAATATAACTAGCTTTTAATTTGAAAAGTTAATGGCGCATTTTTTTCATTAAAACAAAAGATGATCTCGGCAACAGAACTTAAACCGATCTCTTATTCTGATGAACAAATCAATGAATATTATGAAGTATTTTCTTTCTTTGATCATCATAATACAGGCAGAATCAGTCTAAATGAATTGGGTTTAATTATTCGATCGATTGGTTTTAATCCAAGTGAATTATTAATCGAACAATATCAACAAGAATATGTAGAAAAAAATGGCATAGATAAAATCGATTTTCAACAATTGTTACAAATACTAATGTATTTCACAACTGAAATTGAGGATGAAATTGATATTATTGAAGCATTTCGTGTTTTTGATAAAGAAGGTCAAGGTATGATTGTTTTCATGATTAAAATCTTTCACTGTCATTTCATCACGATAGAGTAAAACATACGTTCCTTGTGAATCAGACTGTATCGAATGATGTTGTCTTTCGTTTTCATTCTCTATTTCAAATGATTGAAAATAATTATTTTAAAATAGACCAGTGTTTGGTTTTTGTTTTTTTAAATTTGAGAAGATTGATTTGTTTTTCTTTTTGTTTTGAATAAGGTTTCATAAGTAAAGAAGAATTGATGCATGTTATGACGCATCTTGGTGAAAAATTATCGATCGAAGAAGCACAAGAAATGATGCACGATGCTGATATTTATTGTGATGGAAAAATTCGTTACGAAGAATTCGTTAAAATAATGACGCAATTGAATTGATTTCGATGCAACATTGTTCTCTTGCGATTTTATGATTAAAAGAAAAAATTTAATGTGAAAATTTCAGATGAAATAATGCTTGTGTGAGTAAAATTTCTCCTGAGACAAATCATTCTTGTTTTTGAAAAATAAATAAATCAGACAATTTTTAGACGTAGAAATAAAGTTGCTTGTTTTTATATCATTTGATAGGTACTATAAGATAGTCGAAGGATTCGAGTATCACTTGTTGAAAAACACATTGTTCAGACGCAAGCCTACAGTTTTATCTTATATTTATGACAGTTCGTGATAAGAAATTCTTTGCTAATCAATACCACTTCTAAATGAACTCATTGTTTTACAATAGAAACAGCGTATATTAATGATGAACCTAGATATGAATAAAACATAGAGTCGAATGTCATAAGTTAATAAATAACAGACAGTAGTCATATTTATATAAATATATGTAATTAAATTTTGTGCTAGATGAATGCAACATTCGTTACTATTGATTCAGTAGTCTGTCGTTCATATCTGGAAATAAAAGCAACGGTTCGTTATTCACTTTTTAATTAATGAACCTATTCAAAAAGAAATATATATAATGCACGATGATGTATGACTATGGCAAAATGCCAGTACATAGTAATTTATTTGGATTGAAAAAATAAGGTTCGCGAACAGCTTCATACACATAATTTACTTGCCACATGGTATTAGTAAAAATGACTGTGTGTGAAAACAGAAGAAGACAATCTTTATAAAAGAATTTGAAGTCTAATATCACATCAATAGAAAGAAGTTTTGCTTGAAATTCTAAGACAACAATTAAAAGCTTCCACAATTTATGTACAAAAACATTAACTGTAATCGACTAGGCAATTATAAAATATTCGAAATGTGCTTTTCCCATCAATATCAAGAAAAACCAGTAGGCCTAAGTGACACCAATAACTGTCATGTCAAGTCAAAATCAAGTAATTTACTTAATGGACCTATATGATTACTTGTATCATGTCAGTCGAGGGTCAACTGACTCGAAGTTCTAACAAATGCTATTTTTTGGAACTGTGAACCATCGTTTAGTTTTCTAAAAATGAAACTTTCACATTAGTATGCAGTGGAAATTACAATATTTAGATTTACGATAGCGTTTGTTGCTTGCAGATAATAATTATCATTGCGAAAGATTTTATTTCATTGTTACAATTGTATTCGTACTATCAATTAAAGGTTAGAACAATCTTGTGCATTAGCCAAGAGAAATAACATATTTCGTACATATTCAATTACTTGGCTTATCTTCTCGTCATGTATACCCTATGTTTTGATTTGCCGTGTCAGTTTGTAACGGAAACATGAATCACGAAAGGTCATGAACGAAGTTCTCAACATGATAAGTTGTTTATATTTTCAATATACATATAAATTGCTGTGCAGATTGTATATATCTATATATAAGAGCCTTAGTGGTCCGTACGATCTTTCTAATAGTTTTGTTTCCAATACAGTTTTCATCAAGCATTATATTTGACGAAACATAATATTCACATGTATACTTTTTATTTTTTCAAACACACGTCAATCGCAAGTTGCTGACAGTGTTGTTTTGCAAAACAGTGGTGCAATGCGTACATCGATTGTAAGCAGTCATCTGACACTTGTTTACTTCTTCGTCATTGATTCGCGAGTAAATCATAATGTTTCCATTTTTTAGCACAATGTGTTGGAATCAAAGGAAAAGAATAAGAAAAAACGCCATAAATCAATCACATGACAAAATAGAGTACATTGTGTGATCGATAACTATGGCGTAGATATGAGAGGAATTTCAATATTATTAAGCCAAAGGGTTAATAGCATGCATGTCAAGTGTCCATAAATATTGGTGAATAAATAATTTCAGAATGATTTTCAACACATGAGAATTGCTAAATATAAACGGAATTATTTTAGGGCGCTTTCGTCTTTGAAATCTACTTATGATATGAGATTTTCTCATGATATTCGTCCAATCACAACGAGCATCGATCTATCTGAAATTTGGAGCTTATTAGAGATGTGTTCTAGCGTTAGTGTCGAAGAATTTTCTAACTATACAACGGTCTATAGTGAAATATATAAATTATTTTTTACAATTAATGCTGAAAAAGTATTTCTGCATCTTCAGTCCTTTTGCTTTCATGCGGTAGATTTTGATTCTTGAAGTATATGCTAAAAAAAACCTTGAACATAGTAGAACTGTTACAAATTAAACTTGATGAGGAACACTCTTGTCGGAAGGAAATTGATAGTTATGATACGGAAAGGTGTGAGTGTTTTGTCAAGGTCTTTTCCTCATCTATCAAAGTGTTCGCAGAAAAATTCGCTAGATGTATCTTTTCTATGCAGCCAATTCTTCAAATTTGATGCATCTCGCCCGTTGATAATATATCCGTTTAGTGATATGTATATATATATATGTATATATAACCGTCCAGTTAAAGAAAAACAAACAAACAACTAACAGTGTCTTTTGCTTCAACTGGAATTTCACAAGTGGCAAAAAAATTTCTATTTTCTATACTGTCGAACCACAATCAAGAATAGAAACGAAAAGGAGGAAAAGAAGAAAAAAAAGAAGAGAATACGTACAACCGTCTAGGACAATAACAGAGTTTAACGTATACTTATATTTAAAGATCAGCGAAAAAAATAGTTACGATGGAAAACTTCTGAAAATAAGCACCAGTTTTATAATCAAACAAGATATATGTATATATATATATTGTACAGCTGTTGAAGACAGGAGAGAGACAAGAGAAACATATGATGTTCATGCACCGGTGAAAAGAACAAGTATAAAAAAATAATAAATGACACAATAACAAGAAAAATCACCGAAAATGTTATTAAACCACTAATCTAGAGATATGCAAAGAAGATAAAAAGGGAGAAAGAAAGCGTAGTTTACGTTTTAGCTTCATTGAGCGCATTTGCCTCGGCATCAACTTGCTTCAACACAACTTTTCTTGTTTGAACCGTTGTTATCTCAGTTGTCGATGGCGCTGTTGTAGCTGTACTTGTTGAAAAAAGAGCAACCACTATTTCATATGTACTCATCATAATAGCCGTATTCTATAAAGAATTTAAATTAAAAAAACCGTATCTTTAAAAAAATACGCCATTTAATCTTACAGGAATTTGTCGAATCAGATGTGTTAATAAACCTCGATAAAGGCCAGCAACACTTTCTTCACGTATGACTGTTCTAAATGTTTGAAGAAATGTCCTATACTTGGTACCTTCTTCTCTTAAACGTGTACGAATAACTTCATGAGGATAACATAACGTGCTGGCACATGATTTTGAACACGCAGCAGCACCCAAATATGATAAGAAATCAAAAAGATCCGGATCATCAGATGCACGATTTTGACTTGCTTGAATCAGCTGTAACTGTGCTTTGATTTGTTCATAGATGACAAAATGAACTATCGTTTCCGATACACCAACATACGATGCCGATAAGCCTAGTTGTTAGGTTAGTTCAATGTTTATTTAATTTCAAGTGACGAAATAAAGTTACCTTTATAGAAGCCTCGAAGACCACCTTGACGATAAATGTTTCGAACAACATCCATAGCACGAAGATTTCTCAAAGATCAAAAGTATAATTAGACTATTGTATTTAGTAATGAATCGAACCAGTTTTTAGAAATACGCTTATTCTTGTTGAATATTATTTAAGATAGAAAAAAAGTGAATGGTCAATTGACGGAAAACGACCCTTTTCAATTAAGAAACGGAATTAAGATTTTCACTAATAATAAATACTATAAAGCATATGCACTTTTCTCTTAATCTCATATCATTCGGCCTTCATAAGAATGGCATTAGAAGAAGCATTATCTGTCTGTTGACATGTCTCTATCGATGCTGTTTCGTTATCTGAAAAAGTTCCTAAAGATTTATTTGAGCATTGAAAATGAAATTATTCGTTTTTTTCTACATACAATCGAATATATCTGTAATAATTTATATAAGAAAACTAATTTACCCTTGATCAAGTTGAAGTCGAGTTTTAACGAACCACAATGGATTAGTACATGTAGACATAGCAAAACCTTTAATAGAAAACAATTGTCTTTTTTTTCTTTTAAATTCTCGTTTTGACAGAAATCAATTCATAACATCAAAAATATTCCAGTTAAATAATCGCTTCATTTTCTATTGTGACGTTGACTAATATACATTGGATAAAAGTAGAACTGAACAAAAAAAGAATGCTGCCTATCAAATCTGTCGCGACGGATTTACTAATTATCTCAGTTGTTTTCGTCTCTGATTCATTATTTAGTTTTCGATTGTTGTTGATCAATCTATTGTCACCAGGGACATTATTTTTCACAAATACAATGCTCTTATTGTTTATAAAAGGCTACTACCTGCAGCAGCTGCCGATGTAACATGTACCAATGGCGTTTCTCGTTCCATTTCTTCGACTAGAAATGATTTTGTATTAGCATAGGCAAAAAAATAAATTGCCCTATAAATATTAATACATGTAATTATAAGCATGCATAGATTCTCATTCATACCGAGATGGTGCCACACCAACTAAATTTGGTACCAAACCTTTGAAAAGACCAGGAACGCCTTCATATTTTAGAATGTACCTACAAAAAACAAATCATGACTCTTCAGTGTCTTGAAAGGCTGGTCCACTCTAGGGAAATCTATACCGAAAGGCAGCTATGATACTTGGACGTTTATTGGAAAACGGCATTGAACGACGCATATTATAGGTCACAGTATTACTCATAGATGAGCTTAGATTTAGATGATTGTATTCTTTTGAAACTGAACTTTTTGAAGATTGATATCGAGTTTTGATTACTTCTAGTGGACATGTTAGTACAGCTCCAAAAGTACCGGCAAGTCTATTGTTAGCAAAAAGAGGCAGTTGTAATGTAGAAAAAAATGAATCAATGTTTTACCCTCCTGCCAATAGATGAACGTATGACGAACGATTCGAATTCACGTGTTGGTGTTGTTCAACGGTGGTATCCGGATCATCGGGAGTAGTTGTTGACATAGTAAGAATAGTAATAGTGAGTAACGTGAGAATAATATGAGAAATGTAATACTACTAATGATGATAATGTTCGACTATGGATGAGCATTTAGAAATTAAAGTTTTTAAATCGTTCCCGGTTTCATTTTGATTAATGTTTAGTTGTCTGCTATGCTGTTTTGATTTTTTAAAGCTAACTAATAGAATATTTTATTTAATAAATGATAAGAAAAAATATTGAACATATCTAAAATAATCAAATGCTACAATTCGACGTATTTAATAGATGAAATTCGATAGTTTAGACTAGAAGTCAAAGATTATTCTATAACAGATAAGTGAACGGAAAAATTTTCCACAATGAATTTGTTAGAATAGAACATTTTGTTTGTTTCTTATTATATATGGCTATTAAAACAAAATCAACGAGTAAAAGCCAACCATGTTTATATAATATTTTCGCCTTGTGCAAATAAGGCGTAGAAATAGAGAACACAAAAGATATTTATTCTATTCTCATTGCTAACTGTCAGATAAGAAAGTCAAATACCTAAACAGAATTTATATGAAACTAATAATTATGCGGTAATTAATGCATGAGGGAAAGTTTTAATTGACGGCTCTAAATTTCTATTCACCTGTATCGATTTTTAAACAAGACAGATAAACAACGCTTTATGAAATAGAAAGCTAACCGCAACAAGTCTATATAATCATTCTCTCATTAAATGCAATTTGCAAAACTGTCATTATGAAGCCCTGTCGATGTATCAACGAATAGCTTTGCCGATAGAAACCTTAATATTAGGGCGTTTTTCGACATTACTTATACAAGAAGATTGCAAGTGTCGATAAAAATCTAAAGTAATGCGAGTTCTTCTACTTAATGTATTGAAAAACAATAATAGGACGCGATGTTTTACTTTATTGTGTGATAAACAACATCTAGTGATCATAAAAAAAAGATAATGAGAGGCAAATCATAAAAAACAGATAATGAGAGACAAATCATAAAGGACGTTCAAGTAAAGATCGCTTTTTTCATGACTGGTTTCCCTGGCTTTCGTATTCTTCAGTTCTAAAAGAATATTGATGACCGTGTACATCGATGATGGAATAATTTTCATTTTCTTACTTAAAGTTAGGGTGAATTTACGTAGTAGTCCTTTACTCTGGTAGATCTAGTTTTTGCATTGCTTCTTTTTTTTTTCGTAGTACACTAGGAAAAAATTATGGAATTCTAAAAAGTCCTTTTCGTAGTGAAGATGTCCTTTCGTGAACGGCATCAAAGCGAAAACGACATTCCCGTGCTTCTCGTTGCTGTCATGAACGCCTGAGTGCACGATAGAAGAAAAATATATTTAAAGTCATAGAATAAATTACGTTTACTATTCTTCCACTTGAACATGCATTTACCAATATTGAAACAAGTCTCTATTGCCACGAGTAAAATGCATTGTGTCCACTTCACTTTACAAGCAAAGTGCAAATTAGTCTGTATGAACCAGGCCAGCAGGTGTTTTTCATATTCGAACTTATACTTAATATACCTGTGGCTAAATAACAATGCTGCCTACTGTTATGTTCGCGCTAGAAAATGTGTCTTTAATTAAGATGATACGAAAAAATTTACGATTGAATATGTGCACCTATCGTGCTGTCAGTACATAGAAAACGTCATGCTGATACTATCTGATAGTTACGTTGCTTTTATTGCGTGATAAATAAATAAAATTCGTATCTAAAACTAAATTGTTTTCTTTTTACGTACGTATATTGTGTAACGAATTTACCATACACATGCTCAGAAAAATTTCATGCTCACAAAGAATGTAACGGGACTCTGACAATTATTCAATAAGTTTCCAAAATGGACACTAATTTGTTGGCACTAGAATAGAAAATATTATTTTACGTTGTTTATTCGTTTAACATTTATTTTTTTTCGATAGAAAGCATGCGAAAAATCTATTGTGCTCTTTTTTATTATTAGTGCATGTGCGTAGCTAAGCAATAATTTCTGAATGGATTAGAACGATCGAATGAAATGCCTCCTTGTCATCATTTGATAATGCCAATGTCGAATCCTATTTCGCGATGAATCATACTAATTTGTTTATTGTTTTTGCTACAAATCAGGATGACTGACATTTTTGCATGCTAATATTAACGTCATATTATTAGATATAATGGCTAGTGGTTCGCGAATATTATTACCGTTTGCATTATGGCCAGAAAATCCCCCATCATTATCCGTGTCGTCGCTATTTATAAATTTTGCAAGTGACGATCTCATAACGGGTACAAATGATGGTTTTATTGTCTGTTGGAAAATCTTGTCAGATCATCAAAAGGTAATTTTTTCAGTAAGATAAAAATACATCGTTGATTGAAAATTTTAATTTAGATCATCCCAAGATTAATGTTAATTGGTCATACAAATCAGGTTGCATTTATTGTTGCTTCATTATCAACCCACCAAATCGAACAATTTGTTAGCATTTCAGATAATGATGGGTATGTTATAAATCAGAGTTCCCAATGGGATGGGATGACTCATTTTTTCCCATCCCACTTCGAGCTCGGTTATGAAATATAATTTTGTTCTTCTTATTAAAATTATTCAATTTTTAAAGAGAAATAAAATTATGGAGTAATGAAGATGGTCATTGTGTTGAACATATACGAACCAATCTTAAACATCGTTCTGTACAAGTAAACAGAATTTTTAACAGTTTCTTTTTATGTATTTATGATTCATTTTCTTTTTAAACAGTGTTTTAATTATCAATTAACAAATGAAAATTTTCTCATATGTTGCGGTTGTTATTCAGAAATACTCATTTATGATATGCGTACACTTGAAATTAAATATACTCTTACACCATCAAATGTTAACGCTGATTGGATATCAGCATTTTTTGTATTTCAAAAGGCGAATGCTCCAGGTTAGTTTCAGACTACATAATCAGTTTTTAGGAAAAATAATTTTTGTTTTTTAGATGTTATTATTGCTATTGGATTACTCGATAGTGGTTGTGTTAAATTATGGGCATTTGATCCTCGTACAGCTACTTCGAATGTAAGATTAAACATTTTCTTGAGCATGTTTTTTTTTCTTTATAAAATTTTCTTTTTTTTATAGACAGCTATCGAAGGTACCAGCATAGGAAACAATAATAGTCTTGTACCAGTGGATCTTAAAGAACATGAAAGTAAAGAAATTCGAACACAATTCGGTTCCATGATTGTACCGTGCGATGAATGTCAAAGAATGATGCTCATTGTTCATGGTCAAGGTTGGCATGTAAGTCATAATGATTTTTATGAATTAAAATAATGAATAATCATAATTTAAGATATTTGATGGAATCGATTTTACGGAATTATGTTCGTATGTCATCGATGGTAACGACATTGTTAAAAATGAACATTGGATCAATGGATATTTTCCAACGCAGGATTTAGTTTTACTTTTTTCTGCTCGAGGTTATGCGCATTTTTTTCGTCTTCCAGAAAAGTAATTCAAATGATGCGTGTCAAAATGTTGTACACTTATTTCGATTTTTCTTTTAGTGCAACATTTACAAATCCAAAATTTCGTTCACAACATAACAAGACTGATATGCAATTGCCACAATGGTTATGTAGATTAAGTGTTGGCAATGAATTAGTAAGAATTGAGGTTTTCTTTCAATCTCATAAAAACATCAAATTTATTTTGAAATGAACGCTAAAGTATTTCGATACGGAGTCGCACAGGAGTAGATGAGTGTTTTAAACCGATTGTTAAACTTTAAACGACAGATATTATTGAATGTTGAAACTTACGAAGTTGAATTTTCATAGTTTCTGAATGTAAGAAGAAATTTATTAATTTTAGAAACTTCCTCTAACACCAACTTTTTCTTGTCATACAAAATTAAAACATTGTCAAATTTATCGAGTTGATGCCTCTGGTCAAATATCTGTTTGGCAAATAAATCTAAAACAACTTGCAACATCCAACGGTACCGTCTAATTCTTGTTTTTTTTTCTGCCGTTCTTAATACCATTGAAATATTTTCATAGATATACTTCCAACAAGTTCAATTTCTTATAAAGATATTTGGGCACATGCAATATCAAATATTCGTACTATACGAAAAATTCTAAACGATGTAAATTTATTCAATAGATTTCATATTCTTACAAACATTTAAATATTTATTTAGATATTACCAAATAAAATAAATAAATTAACGGCCTCCTGTCATTTGATTACAAAGGATCGTCTTGGATTTGGTACTGATAATGGAAAGATTTATATCGTACCAGCCTTACAGTTAATTTCCAGTCTTTTCTTAAATAATGATTATAAAAAAGAAAATTTCGGTATTGAATTTTTTCGCATTTTGAATTAAAAAGAAATATAATTTTCTTTAGATATCCAAACACTTGTTGGTCACAATCAAACGATAACATGTTTAATACATCCACATAGTGAATATTCACGCTATGATATTAAGCATTTAGTTAGTGGTAGCATTGATCATTCCATACGTTTATGGGATTTAGAAAATAGTACACAATTACATATGTTTACCGTACATTCCGGATCGATTCTTATGTTTCACATTCCACCGCCTATGCTTAATGTAAAAAATTGAAATTGAAATTCATCGTTTATTTTCACTAAAATAATTTGGATTTCTTGTAGGTTAAAGTGCAATATTGTGTATGTTCAGTAGCTAATGATCATAGTGTTTCATTGATTAGTTTAAAAGAACGTAGATTAATTCTATTGGCTAATCGGCAATCATTCCCTGTTGTTGGACTTCGTTGGAGAATCAATGATGATTTTTTACTGATAAAATGTTCCGATGGAAGTTTATTTGTTTGGCATATTGAAACAGGAAATCTTGATCGTATCGAACAAGGAATCGTAGCTGATGAACTATTTGACTGGTATAATGATCCGAGAATACTTAATGGAAGTTCGGATCTTAACGATCCATTGTCAACAGTTATGGTGCCTGCACATTATCTTCAAATAAGATCAACATGGAAAAGAAGAGATTATGATCAAATTAGGAAATTAAATAAAAAATTCGGTATGAGGAAAAAATGATGCGTTCGTATTTACTTTAAAATTGAGACGATGATAACATACTATGTACCAGGAGAATTACGCTACTCATCGTTTTTGCTTTCTAGAGCGCTTTTCTCTTGTTTTGTTGGTAATAAAATCAGGTCCAAAGATTGTTTTCTTTTCTATGAAGGTGTTTCACGTCATGATTTAATGGGTATATCATCGTTTAAACATTCAGAATATCGTTTACCAATCATCGTTCAACAATTTCATACTAATCTTGGTGACGATTTAGCAATGCTTATTCTTTTTGATTTACTTCAACTTATCAGTAAGTAAAATTCTTTTAGAATAAAATATAAATTAGATTTTTGCTAATTGCTCTGCTCTATGAATATTGAATTTTATTTATTTATATGCTCGTGCTAGGTCAAATCATTATGTTCGATCTTGAAAAGCAACACGCTCAAAAAACTAGTAATACTCGCTTGTCGTTGCTGTCTTCTTATCAGCTAACCTTTTTCCTAATTAAATTCTTCTTCTTCTAAATTTTACTCGTTTTCATTAGAAAACATTGAAACAGCAAATAAAGATACTCGTGCATCATTGGATGAAACATCAAAATCACTATCAACCCTATCGAATCTACTGGTTGCATTACTCCATCCGTGGTCATTCAATAAAAATGTTGATCAACTATGCGAACAACGTCTTCATCTCAAACGTATTAATAGATTTTCCTCCTTTGGTATACTAAGTAAAAATGATCACTTAACCATTGTTCTACCTACATGGCAACAACATTTAAATGATAACATACCGGAAACCTTTTTGCCACCTCCACCGAAATTAATTTCATTTGCTGAAACAGATATTGAAGATGAAGAAACATTAAAACAGTACGTATTCATCTAAATATCATCTACAGCTCATTGAAAGTCTAAGTCACAATTACTCACTTAAGAAATTTCAAAAATTCATGAATTTACACAGGATCTCAATTATCATATATGTATTTTATATAGTAAGACTTAACGATTCTGACTGATTAGCAGCTCAAGGTTAAATCAGACAGAGTCTTGAAAATAAAAGCACCTGTTTTTAAAGATCGTCGCAGTAGATTCCCAGTCACGATAGAAATTTTTGGTTCGTATGCATGGAACGTTTTATTTTAGAAAACGAGAACGTATGGAAACTTATGTGTATCAATGGCGATGGAAATACTCTACCATTCTTAATACTGAACATTTATTAAGTTTAGTTACAATGGTCTATATTTTAATGAATTGCGATCGTTGGATTAATAATATGTAAGTTTATATTTTTCAGCGAATAAAATTTCTCTTTTTTTCTCTCTTCACCTAGATCCAGTGATCAAGACGAGCAAGTTCTAGTAAATAAAACAAAAACAAAATTCTTTTTAATAAGAGATTTCTGTTTCTAGTTGACACAACGAGAATGTTGGAGTAAACTGTTGCAATTCTACTGTTCAGACATGATTGAACAATGTCAAACAACAGCTTTTGAATCATTATCCATTGAAATCTTATGTTCACATTGGCAAGATTTATGTTTAGAAGTATGTATTAAGAAACGATTTCACTGAACATCTTCCTACTAGCCTTTTATTTTCTTTCAGTTGCGTGATGCTGCTAGAAAATTATTAGAAAAAGAGCTTGATCATTTACATAATAATACTGATTCCTGGTACATATTTATTTCTAAATGGTCGAATTTATTTAACCAATCATTCAGTAAAGAAATGGATGGAGCTTTATTTGATCAAGATATTCGAGATATATTTGTTGATGATATATATTGTAAGAAAATTTTGAAAACGAAAAAAATCAACAAAAGTTATTTTAATATTTTGTTTTTGTTAAAGATAACAATGAAGTAACAACGACGGCTACATCGAAAGAACAATATAAAGCGCAACAATTATTATCGATTGTACTTATTGGTATTATCGGTGCACGATATGGTCAAGAAATTGAACCAACAAAACAATCATCGGCTCCAATTAAAGGATTCACAGTTGACAGTCCAGAAATGATTTTAAAATTGAGTAAGAGATTGCGTATTATAGAAACTCATATTGTAAGAAAAATAATCGTCAGTGGTATTTGGTTTTCATCAAAAATAAGGAGATTTTTTGTGATACGAAAAAAGAGCACGATATGTAGAGACCATCAAAATCAATAGTAGTTTTCAATCGGGACCCGGATGGCTCTGTGATAAAAAGAGATGACCATCAACAAAATTAAAGATACTGAAAAAGGATTTTTTCCTGGTGTCACTGAAATGATCTTTATTAATCGAATTCTTCCTTGTTTTAGGTCGTATTTTAACAAGTCTTTTATCTCCGTCGAATTTCGATCACATTCCAGTGCACAGTGCTCTTCGTCGAACAGCTACCGAGCTGATTGGTCGTGGCTATACTATATGGGAGCCATATTTAGATATTGGACAAGTCCTACTAACACTACTTGATCTATGTGCTATTAGTGACAGTTCAACAGTAACAAGCAAGTAAGTAATTTGTTGTTGTTCAATAAGGCGGCTGTTGAGTGGGAATGATGATTTCAGGCCTGATGTGCATTCGAGCAGGTAGTATTAATAACGAGGGTGTTGGGATTGCTTGCTTTGTTTTAATCTAGAGAATATGATCTAACAATCCAACGACACGCAACAAGGTGTGTTGTTTGAAAAACACATGCATGTTTTTCTTTTTCTTGTATTTATTGTATTCGTCTCGTTGAATACCCAATACCTTACTTTAGTATCATGTCTCTCTTTTTGTTTCTATTTGAAAAAGTTCAATCTTCGTTTTAGTGTACTTAGCGGAATATTAACACAAAAAACTGATACTTGTTTAACAGCACGAACAGCACTTAATTTAATTGCGACATCTCGTTCAAATGTAGTTATAATAACACTAGCACGCGAGATCGCTAAATATGTTCTTGCACAATCGGGAACAATATCATCGGTACCAGCGCGTACAGCGACACCATCACAAACGTCGATAACCATAAAAAATGAACAAAAAACTGAAATACTTCGTCTCGTTCGAATTCTTATTGAAAAATGTCCACACGATGTTGCGGAATTAATTCTCGAAGTAAAATATTGAGATAACAAATGTAAATTGCTAGATGAATCTGTTCGTTTTTACTTATAGGTTACTGATATTACTTTAAATTGTATTGATTTAAGCGTTCTTCGACATAGAGGTATTCAAGCTGTATCAGAAACATTTGGATTACTGTTAAGGTAATTGTACTTCTAGTATTTTCAAAGTATCTCTCTATGATTTGAAATGAATCAAAATGCACTGTGATTCTGTCGCTACGATAGATACATTATTTCGATCGATAGTTTTCGTGAACAATCACACGGACAATTTCTAAACATATTGTCTTTAGATATCCAATCGTTACCTATTGCCATGACTCGCCAAAATTATGTGTTGGCACAAGAACTGGCGTTCTTGCTTTATACGACTTGAAAACACCCAAATATCAAGTAGGAAATTTCAAATTATCTTCGTCATTAAAAAAAGTAAGCTTTTTGTTTTTTGTTTTATTTAGGCATGCCAAGCTCATCCAAAAAATGAGGTTATTTCATGTGTAGAATTTTCACCCGATGGAAAATATCTCGCTTCATATTCAGCTTACGAAGGCATATTATATTTTTGGCAGGTAAAATATTTTTTGGTACAAGCTTTTCAAAATCTATTTTCTTTTTAAAAACATAGACCGCAAATACGTTTTTCGGTTCAACAAGTACGATTCATCTTGTATCAAGACATGCAGCTCAACGGCTTGATCGTTCAATACCATCACCGATGAAAAAAGTTGATCTTACTTGGATTGATCGTTCGAGTGTTCGAATGTTTTGGCATATTGATAAAACTGAAAAGACATTCAAAGTATAAATCAACAACCAAATCAAACAGTGACTTCTCTTTTTTCCTACTCTTTTTATATTGTCCCCTGTTAATGTTGTGCAATAGAATCGGAATTTTAAAGAGCAAATACATATTAATTTATTAATTGACGAAAATCAATTCCACATTTTTTTCTTTTTCTCCGTCTATTGAATTTAAATTAAACCGATTTTTTTTATCCAACTAAATCTAGTTCGATATATGATTATTTGTTTTGTAGGCGGGTGTCCTGACTTATGATGAGTCTACAATTCTTTCTTGAACGATACTAATTTTAACATGAACGATTGGATGAAAATATGTTAATGTAAATGTCATTACTATTGATGTGCAATGTAGGTGTGATGACGGGTTAATATGTCACTTGGCAACCTCTATTGACATTAACATCCGCAGTATTAGTAACAAGAAATCCTAAACTTTGTCCATAATCTAGTGCAGCAAACTTGCTACTATTTGTTTTGATATATTTTTTGTGAGATTTATTGATATTGCGAAACGTAACAGGCCGAACTATGGATGGGCGTGTAAGAAGAGCAAAGCAGAAAAAATAGATATAATCAATCTAAGTTGATGATACCGAATCTTTGTCTTTCATAAATGTTAATCAACTGTGTAGTGGTTCTAATAACATTTGCAAAGTTAAATATAACCTTGACGTTACTCGTAATTGTACGATCAATATTTTTTTATCAAGGTTTCATTCTTGCATTTGTTTATGTTTCAGGAAAAAACCCTCATCAATGATCTTACGGATGGCGGGAATGATATGTAACAAAGAAAAGCCATTAATTCATAGACTACATAAAAACTAATGAACATAGTAATAAAATCAAATAAACCGTCCATGTTAAATAATACAATGAAAATCGACCTTTATTGAATTGTTCATTATATTCTATTAGTTTACATTACGTTGCAAGCATATGAGCCGTGATAATTATTCGTTCACTTAAAAGTATTGCTTTCATTATGTCTCGATTATCCTACGTAATAAGAATTACGAGCAATATGTAAACCGTATCCTAAATAACTCAATCCGTGAGATAATAACAAAACAGCGTTTTATTATCTCATATAAATAGAATATAACATATCTGTTAATTATGTTGAATAGGATCGTTTTAATCCCTGATATTCGAAGAAGATAAATAGCGTAATCATACCATGTCTGATGACCTTTAATGATATATTATTCAGGCACTATAACAAGATAGTCGATACATGTGTATGCGTAGAAAAACAGCAATCATTTTATTAATCTACTACGAAATGGCTTCTTCTCCACTATTTGAATTTACAACATCAGCAAATAAGTCCTGCTATCATGCTGTGCTTTAACGAGCTATACGCTTAAGATAAAATAAGCTCGTATTCGTATCACACCATCCATGAGTTGACTGTTGTGGCCTATATAGAGAAAAATTATACACAGAAAAAAAGTTATCTGAATGTCATAAATCACTCTGAGAAATATGTTTTCTCTCTCTTCGTAACACTAGATTGGAATGATTATAAAAACAATTCATCTTATCGAAACTGACATAGGAAAATATGTATTTACGGATAGTGGAAATCTTGGATACGGCATAAAATATACTTGTTTTTTATTGCTTGTATAGCCGAGTGTGTTCTACCATATTTCCTCATCGTCCGGGTACATACAATTAGGATTAGTAGTAGTAGTAGTATACGTGCCATTGATTTCTGTATATTAAGATCAATTACAAGACTCCGGCACTGAAATCTATATCTCAACATATTTTTTCCAGTGATACAAATGACCTAACTAACAAAACAAAAATTCCATGAATTTAATGGGACTTAACATCGAATACAACAATAAAGTCAGTTCTGATAGAATCCCATATCACACATCTTGATTTTTTTCCAATGTTTCTCACATGAAAAATAAATATTTCTTTAATTAGATATAAAGTTTATTCGTGCATAGATAAAATACAACATCAAGACAATGATTAATTCATTGTATACTTTTCTTAAACATCTGTTAGGCATACGCGCTCTGCAAGACGAAAAAAAAATCGATTGATCCATTGATAAAAGGAACATTCTCAGATATGATCATACTTCTATTGACCACCAAAAAAGCATGAAGCCAGTCACAGTTGAGCAGCGTCTTCTTATTTTTTGGTCTTGCTTATTTTATATATGTGATAGGTTACATATGTATACTTTTATACAAAAGAAATTATGCTCAACTGATTTCCCTATGTATAAGCAGACGAGCCCTAGAGATGGAGAAGTATTGCAATTAGATCCATATTCATGCAAGCATGTTCGATAGATCGAGGGCAAGGCGAAATGTGTTTTCTTTTTCCTTTTCTCATCATTGGACAGTATCGTTCTGTATGGCAGAAAAAAATAAATCATCATCTTCAACATTACATTGATGGTCATCATAATAGGAGGAGAACGAAAGAAGTAGCATCACATCACATAGATATCTCATCGATATATAGCTATATATACATATACAGTTCAGACGTTGGTCATATTGACCGTTGTTCTCCTATTTAAAAGATGCTGTTTATTATAATAACAACTGTACTCCTGGCAACTATCAAAATCAGTCATACAGGTAAAATTGATAGTTCGATTTATCATATCAAAAACGTTTCTGCCCGATGAATATAGATGGCATCAAAACAACTTTTCCAGTATCGATTATTTTTGATGGATTTACATTACATACCGTAAGATGCCACTGTAGTTTTTCTTTTCTAATTAATACTTTTCTTTTTGCAATAGTGGATCGATCAATCGTTATGGAATAAAACTCGACAATCGGTTGTGCATCATTTAAATGAATTTTGTAAAAAAGATTTCAATTGCGATGCTGAGTAAGTTAATTTTCGTCTACTCCAGGTTTTTCTTTGTGCATTAAAGAAAGCAAACAGATATGGAGCTGGTAATGTTCATTTAATAAGCGCCGTTCAACATGGGTTATCATCGGTTCATTTAAATATCACAGCTGATGAACCTGTTCTACTTGCCAATGGAAAAGTCAGTCAAACATCATTATCATACAATTATACAGCACTTCTAACAAGTATTTTTTCTCAATGAAAAACTATTCTTTTGTTTTCAATGCTTCTCTTGTTTTATTTAGGTGCCTTATTTCAAGCTAAAATTGATATTGAACATTTGAATGATGATCAACCATTATATTTGTCGAGTCCTTTAAATCCAAATTTAATGGTTAGTCGAACAAGTCGATTATTATTCGTCCTATTGGGTATTACACTCGTTGCTATTGTATTCGGTTCGACTGTATTTTTCTTTCAACGAATGTATGTATAATATCGTAGGAACTTGTTTTTTTTTTAATTTTTATTTCATATTTTTATTTAGTCGTCGTCATAATTACTCAATATTGATTAAAAATGCACGAATGTGTCAACCAATGCAAGATGAACCGTTAACCTGTACACCTTCGATGTCTGGCTTGCATCCGTAGATGAGAAAAGGCTGCTTTTGTTGCTGTATATAAGTGCATATATCGTCGCCACATAATATTTAAAAAAGTTATCTAGATAGCAAGATTAATCATAAAACGAGCAAACAAAATTATCTCGAAGAACAATGCCTATTATAGTTAATGTTGTTTTTGTCAAGTTGCCGAGGGTTTATCAAGCTTTTGTTTTATTTGAATAAATTCATGTAATTTTTCAATGAAATGATCGAGTCTTTATTATGAAAGTGTCTATTGCATAAGAATGCAATGAAAACTCGTGAGACTTTAGAGAAGGACGCAAAATGATTAGCGTCTGTGTTGGATGTATGTTCGAAGAAGTAAATCATAGAATTATTGCGTCAGGAGTATTTCATAATCGTAATTAATAATTACAAATCCAATAGAATGGCCAAAAACTAATATTCTCTCTCGAAGTTTATCCACAGTTCAAAATGATTTCTATAAGGAATTTTTTTAGATGATCCACAATAGCATCGCGGTAGACTACCTTAATTACCGGAGACATCACGAATATTTTATGGGCGAATTCTAAGTGGCTAGACATTCAATGCTCATGTTTTGTTACACGACAACTTGGAAGTGATGCATACCTATCAGGAATCACTTCTACTAAGATTTTATGCTTTAGGCTTTATGATCTGTCTATGACGTATGACTATCATTATATGGCACTTGTCGAAGACCTGCGAGTGCATAACTGCGTTTGTTTCTTTTTACTTTTAGTCATCGATAAACTTGTTCAACGTTTACAATCTCTTTACTGAACAATCGATATTTTTTACCCTTTCTTGTGCTCCATCATTTTCATGCTCTATATTTGTGTAAGATGATTAGCATATAGAACGTCGTTTATTTTCATTGCAATAGACACCATTATTGCGATCTCGGTTTCTAATTACTTTATAGAAGAATACAAAAACAGTGTCTTGCCTCAAATCAGTAGCTAAGATATAAATGTTATTGCCAGGTACTTATCTACTCGCATATAACTATTTTATTTCATGATTCAATTATACCCATAATTTGTATCGCAATAATGCTCATTTTAATTTTCTCAATAGATCTTAGATATTCTTCTTGGTGGCTCGTACAGTATTGATCCGTAAATGATATTTATACAAACTCATTTTTATTTAGCCTAGCTACACAATCCGACTTGAAGATTTGTGACGCGCTTTTATTTCAGATCCATGCAATTCTCAGTCGTTGTTTTATAGAAATAGTTTGAAAATATGACGTGCATGTTATTTGTTCCAAATGAGCATGCCCGTTCCTCTTTTGCGTAAGAAAAAAAAGTGAACGCGAGTTAACAAAATATAAATCCTTTATTTCATTCATCGTATTACGATATTCAAAATAGATTCACTTCTGTGTTTGTTCGTTGTTGACATAATGTCATTCTCAATGACACAATATATAAAACAAATGATAGAGATTAGCACGGCATAGAGAAAGAAGGTAAACAACTATAATTAGACCTAGTTTTTATCAAATGGATTATACACGCATACGATAAGAAAATTTGCTGGAAGAAAGAACGAAGGCAAAAAAGCTTATTTTATATTCTTTCATTTAACCAAGTAAAATAAAAAATAACACGAGAAAGAATATCGGTAAGAAGATATCACACTTAAATAAAACAAAAGGCTCTTCACCGGATCATCGACCCTTTTGCTTAACATTAAGAATTAATGCATACACTCATTCTCAAGTATCTCATTATCATTTGCCCTTTTTCTCGTCGTTCACAGTCGTTTGGATTGTTAGATATGCATTGAACATACGTTTTTGAGTCATTTCAGTTAATCGTTGAAGATCATTGTCAAGCGTCATACCAGCTGTATTGATCGGCTCGAGACAATGAATAGTTACGCAACCAGGTCGCCAATAATAACTATTATTTGATTTGTCTGCATTGTATATTGGCTTATAGGATGAAAAAACAATCGGCACAATAGGCACTTGTGCTTCAATAGCCAACCGAAAAGCACCAAGTTTAAATGGAAGAAATTTTTCGCTCGTATTTCTTGTCCCTAGTGCGACGAAGAAAAAAGAAATAAAACTCATAAAAATTGATTATCAATGATAATATTCGTTGTTTTTCTATACCTTCGGGAAAGACCCATAGCCGAAGTGATTTACTTTGAATTTTTTTCATTATTTGAGACATTGTTTCACTTGCTCGTTGGCGATTATTTCGATCGATAAATTCAACACCAGCTAACCATGATCCTATACCAAATGGTCCTGCTAAAAGCAATTCTTTTTTTGCTAAAATTGTACAATATCGAACATGTTCCGACCAAATATACATCATGCCAATAAAATCTATCGACGATTGATGATTAGCAACAATAATACATGATTCATTTTTATCTAATACTTGAATATTTTCAACACAATATTCTATACCTAATAAACGAAATATTGGGTTCAATACAAAAGATGATAAACGTATATTTAATGCATTGCGTGGCCGAAATAAAAACAATGGCGGTAGTATAATAGCAAATAGCATGACTGTGCTAGAATAAAAGGCGTACTTAAGTTGAAATAATTGTCGTTCATTGAGAACATGTTGAATAAGTAAATAGATGATTACGGTCATCAAAATCACACCGATTATGAATAGGCTATAGGTTGACATGATTGTTTTTTTCTTATCTAAAACAATTAACGCCTTTATTTATTTATTTATTAAATTAAACTAATTCACAATACCCAATTAAATACTTTAGTAACAATAACTATAAATAAGGAATGTTTTTATTTAACAAAGAAATCGATAAAAACTAAAACGAAAAATTTAATCATGCATAAACAAAAATTATTTTTCTTCTTCTTATAAAGTAGGATGGAAATGAGAATGATGTTGAGATGCAATCATAGTATGACATTGAGGAAAACGTTGTCGCCAATCATCGGATACAAAACAAACCGACCACATTCCAACAGGTATCAACGTAAGAAATAATCCGCATGCAACAAAAACAAATGATAAACGATAATTAAAATGTATTAATCGATTTAATAATATTAGAAAAAGCCAACTACTAGCTAGAGCTAATCCACTTAATTCTCGTCCTTCTTCATCGTGTAGAAAATGTATTTTCATACTATTGCTATTATTAGTATTTTCATATTGATATTTGAATAGAAAATGGCAGCCGAATGCAATAATTATACAGAAAACAAAAGCATTCATATAAATAATAACAACCGATGATGAACGATAATCAAATAATTCGATAGCAAGAAAACAAGCTGTACACGCATATATTGTTACCCATAAATACCAGTCGTGATCATTTAAATTAACAAAAGCAGCAAAAAGAAAAAATAAACAGCCAATTCCATTTATAATACGCCAGATAAGTTTACTTGACGATTGTTTACCGTCATCATCATGATAGTGATGATCAAACATCTTCAATACAGGAAAATAATACAAAGTTCTTTATTTTATTCGTTTCTTATCAATAATAAATCTTTTTTTCAATTCGAACAAATCTAACAAGAACAACAAAATACACAGATTAATAAGCAGAAAAAAAGTAGACCAAATGTTTACAGAGATAGACAAGCAATAGGGGACTAGAGATCGTTTTGTGAACAAAAAAGAGAAGAAAAAAAAGGAGCATTGCATACAATATATCGTTACTATTTCGTAAGATCGAGAGAAAGAACACAAAGTGAGAGACAGAGCGAGCAACAAAATTTTTCTATCCGTCTTATTATTATTATTATTGGTTGATAAGCAATAAAGAGAGAACAACGTACGATTGGTGAACATGTCACAGCATATTATGGCTAGTAATGAAACGAAAAGAAAACACACGAGCATATTAGTGTACCTAGATGATACTAGAATAATGACGAAGCATATTGGATCCGACCGGTTTCGTTGATTGTTTAGTTGCAAGCGAACCACCTCGTAAGGGCGATGCAAACGATTGATTCATATTTGCTGCGGTTACATGCGATGGCGTAGTCGATGTGTTAATTAGTAATTTTCTTGAATAATCATTAGGTGTTGAGGCATATTGAAGTTGTGGAACCGTCGATTGTGTAGGAGAAACAAATAATGGTTGACATTGAAGACTTGTGTTGTTTGTATCGTTGACGCTTAGTGGCAATGTTTGAAGATCGGATGAATTTGTTAAAAGATAATGGCTGAGTAGTTTTTTGTTTAACATTAAATTTTTATGGCGTTCACGTTTTAAACTATGTCTAAACAATTGAGAAATGTTTCGTTTTGATTAGTAAAAAAAAAGAAGAAAATTTACCGTAGAGATTCCCGACTAGTCGGGAATGTTGGACTGGCAATAGGATTCAGCAAAAGCTAAAAATAATCGAAAAAAAAATGTTAAAACAACACTTATAGTTCACGACTAAGTCACGTTCATAAAGTTATTAGTCGGAAGCGAGAAGTAATTATTTTTTTAATAAGTAGATATTTTAAGGCAAACAAAAATTGTTCATTCCTGATTCTATCAGAGGAAAACTTACTTCATAGGCTGATGGTCTTTGATTAGGATCAATATTACACATACGTCCAAGTATAATTTCATTGAATTGATTTGTACAATGTGAAATAGCATGAAGATAATGTGTAATATTCAATCTCAATTGTTGCCATTCATTACCTTGTTTAGGCATTTCGCGATTTGTTGCACAAACATATAATGTTAAACCTAACGAAAAAATATCACATTTAGCTAAATTGATTTGTTTCGATTTTGATTTTTGTAATGCTTCTAATGCTAAATAACGACTATCACCGTCTTCTTCACTTGTTGATAAACTTATCTGACTAACATGTCCTAGATCAGTTAATTTATAAATAATATTATTCGTACGATCATCATCATAATCAACGTTGTCTTTTTCTAAATTTACTGAACGTTGACATAACATAATATTCGCTGGCTTGATATCCAAATGTGCCAAATCTTGTGCATGCATAAATGCTAATGCATCACTAATTTGATGAACAATTTGTTTTAATTGTGGTTCATTAGTAAACATATGATTGCGACGATTTTTTTCCAGAATATCACCTAATGATCCAGAATTACAATATTCTAATTGAACAAAAAATCTTCCATCGGGTTCAATCCATGCTGAATGGTATCGTACTAAATTTTCATGTGATATAAGTACAGCATGCGCACATGTTTCACGCCATGCCATTTGTTCGTAACTTGTACCAACCACTGGTTGTTTAGAAGCTTTAATAGCATAGGTTATGCCATCGAGACGATTCTTACATAGATAAACATGAGAAAATTCTCCTTGACCAAGTAGATATTCTTGATGAAATTCTTCATCAAATCGTCGAATAGTTAATTCACGTAACAATGGTGAATCAGCAGGAACGATACGTAATGATTGTTGAGTATCCGATGGAACATGAGCTGTAGATTGTTGATCACGTTTAGCAACAAGACGTGTACGATAACGTGGTGTTGGTGTAGTACTTGTTTTGTTGGTTGGTTTATATGGAGAATCAAGTTTAGCACGTTTTATGAGTGAAGAATCTAATTGTGGACTAAATGGATTCGTATTGACTAGATCTCCTAAAGTGCGAAGAAAAAAAAATTCATTAACAATAAGAAAAGTTCAAAAAGAATTTTTACCTTTCGGCTTTGATATTGATTGTTCATGATTTGATATTGTTGATGTTGTTAAACTAATTGAATCATCGTGTTGACGACTTCGACGTTGAACTTTTGGTGAACGAAATGTACTTTCTTGTACATAATCAAGATTTTTACGTCGTGTACACGGTGATTGATCGGGTGTTTTCAATGAAACACCAGCTATAGACGTATTCGATCGAACTTTTGTCTCTCGATTTCGTGTTGTACTTCGTTTACGCTTATTTGTATTTGTAGTACTCTTTGTTGCATATTTAACTGTATAACTTGTTGTTTGTTTTGTAGCAACACTGCTAGACAATGGTGTATAACGAAGACGACAAGGCGATTTGAATTCATTGGATTTTTTAATATGCGAAGATATAGGTGATGATTGATAGGAAACTTCGGATGGCGTTTGAGATAATGTTGTTAAACGAGATAATGCTGATTCAATATTTATTGAATCATTAAGAATGAAATCTTGTTGGGACGATGGTTGACTATGAAAACGTGAATCATCTTGCGATGGTTGACTACAGCTACCACATGTTGAATCATCAAAAAATGCTGATGATGGTGGTAAAACTTGACTACAACTACTATTAACAGTTAATCTCGGTGAAAATGAGAGACGAGTTCGTCGATTAAATTGTGACGCTAGATAACTACTGTCTGTAGATTGCTGACTGGCTACATCCGATTCATCCGAGTCAAAAACAGGCGGAGGAATAGGACTTGCGAACGAAGACATCGTTACACGATCTAAAAAAAGCAAACCTTTATAGATATACAATTAACAATGAATGCACGGATATTCTTCGACGGACGGATAATCGTCCACAGAGAGACAAAGAACTGGCACCCGGTAAACCAATAACAATAGCGCGCGCGTGTGTCAAGTAGCGTCATCTGTGTTTCATGAATGAATATCATATGGTTGAGTGTATTTTTCGTACCACTTCGTTTGATCAAAAAACGAACGGAATATATTCACAAAGATGTTTTATTTAGAAAAGGAATTAGTGTCGATGATTATGATTTTAGAAGTGCTCTCCGTGCGTCTGAATTTATTGAATCGATTTAGTTCTAGTTATTATTTTTTGAGAATGAAGAATCGATTAAATTTCATCCTATTTTGTTTTGGTTACAACTATTTTAAAACACAAAATAATACTGTTGAAAAGCATTAAAAAACGAGATAAGTTTCTGCGCTTACAACTTGATCTATTCATTGTTTGACTCACTGTTCTTTTCTTCTTCTGTTCGTTCGCTATCACTGCCCTATCTCACTTGTTTTACCCTGCTGTTGCATCTTCTCGTTTGTATGTTTACGATTATATATTATCTATTCTTCATTTTTTGTTTTGTTTTACTTTAGCCAAAAACTGGCAACATAAACTGCTAAAACAAACTGACATAGAATCATGTATCCATCAAATACTAATAACGGCATGGAAAACGATGAGTTAAATGCAGTTCACACACAAATCAATCAGAAAACGAATGAATCATTGGAATCAACACGTCGCATGCTCGGCTTAGTAGCCGAATCTCAAGAAGTCGGCGCAAATACAATGATTACACTTGATGAACAAGGTGAAAAACTCAAACGAATTGAAGTAAATTTATTTTCTGCGGTTTCTATTAAAATTTTTCTTGTCGTTAAATATCCAATAGGAAGGTCTTGATAATATTCATGCTGGCATGACTGAAGCTGAAAGAAATTTAACAAATTTACAAAAATGTTGTGGACTATGTGTTCTACCGTGGCAACGTGTTCGTCAAACTTATCGTCCTCACACAAATAGTAGTACTGCATTTAGTAGTGAAACGTCATCGCCAACAACTGCTGAACCAAAATTACGTATGGCAAATGATGAAGGTATGCCTCAAGGTGGCTATATAACTCGTATTACCAATGATGATCGTGAAACTGAAATGGACGATAATTTGCAATTAGTTAGTAGTTATCTTGGTAATCTTAAAAATATGGCACTTGATATGGGCGAAACAATCGAAGGTCAAAATAAAGTGATCGACCGTATTGCGGAAAAATCTGAAGTTGGAATAGTTCGTGTAGATGCTGCTAATAAACGAACAAAAGATTTAATTCGTCGCGCTTAATTTTATTTTCTAAAAATATTCTGTGTAATTTTCTTCAATATGTTGTTGGCGTGCTTAAGTGTATTTATCTGTTGTTGCAATAATATGAAGGAAAAAAACGAGGGAGAATGTTATTCATCGAATAAAATTAAATATGATTAAGGATAAAGACAGTATATTGAAAAAGAAAACGCCTGAAAAATCAATAAAACGCACTATCAAAGCTCTTGTAACTACTTCAAACATTTTTACATTCTGCGCCTTTGTCAGCATGACAAGGCATTTTATGATGCCAGTTCAAATGACGCATTTTCTTCTAACGCTAGTATATCAATAAGTGCAACTGGCATTTTATATTCAAGGTATTAGTTAATCGACGCGAATCATCAATAACATAAATTTGCATTGATTTTTTGCCGTTTATCATCAGATTTTGTTTTCGAAAGAAGAAAATGAGTGGCGTAGTAAGTTCTGTACAAGATCGATCGATCGATGATGAATTTATTGAGAATTTAAAGTCGTTATCTGTTTCACGATCGTTGGCTACGTATACGGATGGTATTAAAGAGTTACATGTGCAATTGAAACGTGCAACACAAAATGGTTTACGCAATAATATATCGTTTGCTTTTGGTATCGTTGCTAATCTATATCGAATCGTGCCATTGTTCGATAAGCTTTTGTCCAATGATGATAAAGATGGGTATAATAATTTTATTCAAACAAAAAAATTCTTGGACACATTAACAAACTCTTTTGAAAATGTATGTTTTTTTGAAATATTTGCAATGGCAAAAACAACAATACCAATTCAATCGATTTTTCACAATTATATTTTTCTATTGAAAGAAAATTATTTTACTGACAATGATAAATATGATGGTCTTGTGAATTGTTTATTGCCTATTATAACATATGCAAGTGTTTTAACTCGAATAACTGAAGATCAAATACCAGCCGATCTTCTTAATTATCTACTAAAATTTACAAAACGCCATTGGCTGTCTCAACGTCGAGAAATAGTTATTAAAAATATTCTCGGTTTGATCAAATGTTGCTCGAAAAATCCAGCACTTGTACCAATGATTATTCGTCATGAATGGCCTCATGCATGTGTTCAATGGTTAGGGAATAAAGATTCTGGCACTAGTCAACGACCATCGTATACAATTGATTATTATATATGCCTTATTATACAAAAACTGGCTCGACATACAAATTGCGTTGAAGTTCTTAATCAATTGAATTGCTTGAAACGACTTGATGAATGTCAAGAGTTTATGAAAAAAACTCATACGGACTTTGAATACAATTGTCTACATCTCATCCATGGAATGATCTATACGCTTCTAATGGAATCAGATGAAATCAAACAAATATCATTATCTAACGATAAACGAATGTGCGGTACTATCAATGAAATTGTATCGTATGCAGTCGAAGCATCTCGCAATGAATTGTTCTTTTATAAATGTTTTCACGTATCAGAAATGTTAGGTGTACTTAGTAAATTATTTGTAAATGACGATATACTTTTAAAATTCGTCAACGAAGATAATCAATTATTTGATTTTCTATCACAATTAATGATAGATTTTAATAATATAACTCGCGATACAAGTCGAACACATCAACCAGCGAATGATGAAGCATTGCTCGCGTTAACAAATATATTGTGGAGCATATCATTTCATGAATGTTACCATGAAAAATTCAAAAAAAATGCAACACTCATGAATATAGTATCAAATCTATCGACCACAACACCGTTGTCTATTAGTACGCAAATGAAATTATTACCACGTGATATGTGTTCATTGAGAAAAACAGCCGAAGGTATTCTATGGAATTTAAAACCAACATCATCATCATGTCAAATATCAAATGAAAAAAGTCAACAACCGCTTGCGATGATAAGTTACTCGCATAGCGATACAAAATTTTGTCGAGAACTTGTGGAGACTTTATCTGCTCATGTTCCCGTTTGGGTTGATTATAAACAAGCAAAAGATGCGGTTGCTCATTCGGATGATCTCTGGGAAGAAATAGCTCGTGCGATGGAACTCGCTACGGTGATTGTTTTAATTATTTCCAAAGAATATTACAATTCGAAATCATGTCGGCAAGAACTTTCGTATGCAAGTGACGCACTTAAAAAACGTATTGTACCGATTTATCCTGGTGATCAACAATATCGAGCTAGTGGTTGGCTTGGTATTCGAATAGCAGGTCAAAAATATATTCACTTCGGACGAAAACCATTTTCCGAAGCTATTGAAGAACTTTCCTCGATAGTTCTTGCTGATCAAAAACCTAATATTGTAACGTTAACAAGACCAACAGAAACACGTTCTTCATCTTGTGCAACTCATCCAATAAAAATGATCGATGAAGAAAATAAATTATTATCAGCAGCGAAAAATTGGACAACAAAAGATATACGAAAATGGTTCGAAGACAATCAAATACACGCAGATTTAATAACATTACTTATTGATCAATTTCATACTGGCACAGCTCTTATTGTCTATGCACGTCATGTTAAATTATTCTATAGAAATGAATATATTCGTATATTTAAAAATTATTCAAAAATATTTCATGGAAAAAAACTGAATACATTTGATTTTATTAAATTTGTCGATGCTCTCTATCGTCTTCGTTCTGACTATGATCCTAATTCTACTATAGAAGATAATTATGAGAAGCACAGTGAGCAACAATTACCGACTACAATTAAATGTACAGACGATTCAATAACTCGATTGTAAAAGTGCAAACGATTTTTTTCTTTTGATAATGTTTTCTATCTTATATTTTACAGAGAATAAAATCTCCTGATATAAATTAATCTTTTCTTGTTTTGTTCGATGCAAAAGAACAACCTATCTTTATATGATTTGCATTAATTTCAACAAGGTTTGATCAAGAGCAAACTTGTGCAACACGTAAATATTTGATAAAGTTTGTGAATGTTAATATATTTTGTCAGCTACAGAACATTTTACTTAACGATACAACCTTAAATCAATATTTAGACTTACGATTATGATTGACGTCTATTTTCTTTTATTTTTACCGTATATAATATTGCTATCCGCTTATTGTATTAATAAATATAAAGATTTACGAAATCATAATGAATCATTGATTTTTATCATAAATACTTGTGTATTTATTCTTTTGTTCAACAAGAAAAACTTCCATACAAATCGTGAGCACAAAAACAAAAAGTGATAAACTATCTTTTTCACGCACAACTTACAATTTTTCAAGAAACTAAATAAACAATGAAAGAAAGAAAAAACAAACAAACATCGATTGATAGCACACAACGCTGCCGTTCGATCGATTCAGTTCATAATAACAAACACCCAAAAGAGAAAATTCACACATACGCAATAACTCATTTTTCTAGATAAAAACACGCTACGTAAAAAGGGGAATAAAAAAAAAGGAGAATACGCAACGCTTCAAACTTTTCATCGGACGTTTTAGAATATTTGCTCTCTTCTTGTTACGGGTTGATGACCAGCAAGCGATTTTGGGCCATGTTTTTGTACCCAACACTGTTTACAATACGAACGAAGACAATGAAAATTTCGACAAAAAGCATCAGCAGTCGATGGACAAAATGCACATGGTTCGTTTTCACGTAAAAATGGATCAATATCAAGCTAAACATATTTTATTTTATTCATTAATCTTTTCACTAAAAAAATACTGCGAAAAAAAGAAGTTACCAATTTATGGAAACAATCACNATTTTGGGCCATGTTTTTGTACCCAACACTGTTTACAATACGAACGAAGACAATGAAAATTTCGACAAAAAGCATCAGCAGTCGATGGACAAAATGCACATGGTTCGTTTTCACGTAAAAATGGATCAATATCAAGCTAAACATATTTTATTTTATTCATTAATCTTTTCACTAAAAAAATACTGCGAAAAAAAGAAGTTACCAATTTATGGAAACAATCACATTTTATATCAATTGTACCAGCAGCAACTGCACGCATATAACTATGTGAGTCATAAAACAGTACCGTTCCTGTACCTAATAAGCCAACATCAAAATGATAAACTGTTTTTGTCTGCATCACATAATATAGTTATTATTTACCTGTAGGATATCCATATTTATCCGTATTAATTTGAGTTATTGAAACTGCTCCGAATACATTGGACATGATGGTGTCTAGACTGAACGCAGTCATTTTGCCATGAAGTGGTGAAACGAAAATAGTTCGTGACCAATCTTTGTAAGATGGCTCATGATGTCGCACATTCTTTTGTTGAACAGCGTATACATTATCTTTCATATTCCAAGGAACAACTTGAATCTAATCATTCAATGTCGTGAAGGAGAAAAAATGAAAGAAAAAATACTAACTGGCTTGAATCGAGTTGTACGAGCAGAAAAGTCATCTAATGTTGATGAAGGTAACATATGAATATGAAGAAAATAGTCGACAGTAGCACGTTGTTGTCGTGTGCAATGCTTAAGAAGTTCACCAACTGAACGTGCGTCTCGATAAACCAGATGGCAAAAACCTTCAAAATTAATAAATATCAAGTAAACGGACATATTTGAAAGAAGAAGAATTTTCAAACCCGGAGTATTATGATTGTTTCCATCATTTTTTGGCCATTTGATATTACATTTACCAAATTTTCTCAAAACCAACAAAAGTTCAGCTAAAATATCCAGTATGAAGAAAAAATTCATTTCAAATGAGCAAATCACCTTCACTCAGTTCAGCTGGAATACCACCAAGAAAAACTTTTCGAGAAAAACTAGCTGTTATTTGATATTCATCGATGGTGACCGCCTCATGTTGCATAGGCAGATGACCACGCCAGTTTGGCATAGTATTTGATCGAGTTGTACTATGAACTACTTGCGGTGGTGGTTGCGGACAAAGAATTGAACGGTTCACTAGAAAATAGATGATATGAATTAACAATGAGAATGTTGAAAGTATCACCATAAGAAGATGTTGGTTGCATCAACATGAACGAAGGTGGCACTCGTTGAAGATCATGATCTGATTTCGGTAATTGTATATTGTCAATAGAAGAAAGTGTTTGACGATTTGGCAAAGGTTGAAATGATGATACCGAAGGAAAAATATTTGCGCTTTCATTTGGTACGATTAATTGGTCACTTGAATTTGTTATGGCCGGCCCAGACTGAAAAAAATCGATGGAAAGCTAAACTTTGTCTATACTAATAGAAATGAATCGAAGAAAACATTTGAAATGCATGAATGATTCGGATCGATATTTATGAACAAGCGAATGAGACTTACTGGTAACTGTTGAGGTACCTTGTAATTGCCAAGACTATTAAACGACATGACAGATGATGATGTCGACAAGCGTGACATTGGTGAAATCAAGTCATCGAGAACTGATGCTGAAGGAACAGTTTTCTTTATACTAAAATAGATAATATCGTGAAGTTTGAATGGATATCTAGCGTAGACTTACCAGAAGTCATCCGGTAAATAACTTTCCGCTATGGACATTTCTTGATTAGACGAATTTGAATTAGCATTTAAATTTTCAGCATCGGACTGCCTAGAAGACAAATGAAAGACTTCTATTTATCAATAAATATTCAATCTTACCAACGAATCATGGTTGAAAGTTTGGAACATTTATAGTCATCAGGAAAAAAGCAATTATTTTCTAATCCATTGTTAATATTCGATATTTTATCGTGGACCAATGACGAGCACAATGACGGGAAAATTGAAGAATGAACAAGATCGTTGTTTTCACACAAACCTAAGCAAAAAATAGTTTTACTTGTTTTTACCAGAAACGAAAACAAGCGAAGAATTTTACCTGAATCAGAAGGAAAAGATATTTTAAAAAAACTATCGTCCATGAAGAATAGAAAAATTGAATGAAAATCTAAAACAAATAATTATTTATTTTGAGATTTTTAAGAGACAATAAGTTCAACGATTTTTTTATGAACAATTAAGGTAAGATAGTTTATGATTGTGTACAAGTTATAGAAGATTATTTTTCTATTGATTCAGTAGAATCTACTATTACTGTTTTCTGTCGATAAACAACCATTTCTTGGTCATATCGAAGTTTTTCTTCTGCTCCCAACTTCGTATAATGACTTTTGAGATTAACATCCAACTTTGACCATCGTTCACCAATTAATTTCATTGTTTCTGAATAAAATGAGCGTGTTTTTATTTGAATAGATACATTTTTTTTCTTTACCTGTCATAGGAATATTTGGTTGAGTCGATTTAATTTTTAATCGTTCATCACGTGCAAACAGAAAATATCCTGATAATGGTCGCTTTGGTGCATTTGGATCTTTCGACGCTTTTTTACTATGTCGTGGCATGTAGTGTGTGTGTGTTTGTTACTCAATTGAACTATGTTCGATTTTATAAAAATCGATCTCATTAGGCGACTCGCGCCTATTCTCTTTCTCTCTCTACATAGTGAAGAGCACGTGTAACACAAACGAACAATTTTCTTTCTCTTCTCTCCTCCTATGGAGTGTTCGATCCAGGAACTTCTTAATAGAAAAAGTTACCCTCGAAAAATAGTCAACCGTTTTGTCTATAGGTTTTTCTGAATAGTTCGTTAAGACGAATATATATATATATAATATTGACCTCGAAGTAAACACACATTCAAAATGTTTTCAAGAATATAATCGATTGCCTTGAAGCAAATACACCATTATTTGAATTCTTATAAATTCATTCCATATAAAATGAGCAAAATTTCGACATTTCATTGTTTATAATCTATGTATTTATTCTAATCTTTGAAATGTATTTTTCCTCCAAGAAAAACAATAGAAAATCTTTGCAATGATAATAATAATAACGCATAAAGACGTTCAAAACACAAAGAAAAGCGTAGTAAAACACACTTGTCTTCATCCGCAGAATTACTATTCTACAAATATATACAAAATCGGCGAGAAAATCAATTAGGATTAGTTCAAATAAGCGGTCATTTTTTTTACAAAGACTAACAAATGACGATAAACAACATCGATCGATATCATACTACACATTATACATCATCTACAGCTAGAAATACGCAGTTCGCACGCTAAGCACAACATCAAATTTTCACAATTATGTTTTCAAACATATAAAAAAGAAAAGGGAAAGGGAAACAATCCTATTTCAAGAATAAGCCAACAACACTGAATAGAAAAGAAAATAAAAGAAGAAAAATATAAAAATAGAAGAGAAGAACAATCTCGTTTTCTATAAATTTCATAATTCACATATGTGGTAGTGGTTGTTGTCTTCGTGTCGCCGGTTGATGATCAGCAAGCGGCTTTGGGCCATGTTTTTGTACCCAACACTGTTTACAATACGAACGAAGACAATGAAAATTTCGACAAAAAGCATCAGCAATCGATGGACAAAATGCACATGGTTCGTTTTCACGTAAAAATGGATCAATATCAAGCTAAACATATTTTATTTTATTCATTAATCTTTTCACTAAAAAAATACTGCGAAAAAAAGAAGTTACCAATTTATGGAAACAATCACATTTTATATCAATTGCACCGGCAGCAACTGCACGCATATAACTATGTGAGTCACAAAACAGTATCGTTCCTGTACCTAATAAGCCAACATCAAAATAATAAACTATTTTCTCTGCATCACATAATATAGTTATTATTTACCTGTAGGATATCCATATTTATCCGTATTAATTTGAGTTATTGAAACTGCTCCGAATACATTGGACATGATGGAGCCTAGACTGAACGCAGTCATTTTGCCATGAAGTGGTGAAACAAAAATGGTTCGTGACCAATCCTTATAGGGTATTTCAGTATTCGATGCGTTCTTTTGTTGAACAGCATATACATTATCTTTCATATTCCAAGGAACAACTTGAATCTAATTATTGAACATCGTGAAGATAAAAAGATGAAGAAAAACAAAAACTTACGGGTTTGAATCGAGTTGTACGAATAGAGAAATCAGTTGATGAAGGTAACATATGAATATGAAGAAAATAATCAACAGTTGAACGTTGTTGTCGAGTACAATGTTTAAGTAGTTCACTAACTGAACGAGATTCTCGATAAACTACATGACAAAAACCTTCGAAAATAATAAACATCAAGTTGAAAAAGAATATGTTTGAAATAGGTAGAATTTCTTACTAGGCTTATTGCTTTTGACTCCATCATTTTTTGGCCATTTGATATTACATTTACCAAATTTTCTCAAAACCAGCAAAAGTTCAGCTAAAATGTTGGGGATGAAGAAAAGATCAATTTGAAATGAGAAAATCACCTTCATTGAGTTCAGCTGGAACACCGCCAAGAAAAACTTTTTGAGAAAAATTAGTAGGCGTTTGATATGATTCCGTGACAATGGGCAAATGACCACGCCAGTTTGGCATAGTGTTCGACCGAGTTGTACTATGAACTATTTGTGGCTGTGGTTGAGAATGTAGAATTGAGCCGTTTACTAGAAAATAAATGGTATGAAACAGTAATGACAGCGATGAAAATAATACCATAGTTTGAAACTGGTTGCATGAACATGAATGATGGTGGTACTCGTTGAAGATCATTGTCTGTAGCTGCTAAGTGAATGTTGTCGATAGACGAAAGTGTTTGACGCTTTGGTGTTGGTAAGGGGAGAAATGCCGATGCCGATGAGAAGAGATTGATATTTTCATTTGGTACTGAAAACTGGTCTGTGTTTTTGGTCGTTCGTGACTAAAAGTATTATGTGCCGTGTTAAAAAGAAATCGTAGAATTTAGGTTTTCTCATTCAATAGCGTGAAATAAAAAATGTTCTCAGGAAATTCATTGTTTCAGGCTACAAAACATCAGATTTATGGAAATTTCTATGCGAACGGTCATCAAAGGAACTTCTTTTTTAAAAGTGTCATCCCAGATGATTTCTTCGTGTACTTACAGATCGCTGACCGATTGGGTTTTGATTGCCAATACTATTTAAAGACATCACTGACGATGATGTTGATAACCGAGACATAGGCGAAACAATGGAATCAGTTAAAGACGAAGAACCCATATTTCTGTTTGTACTAAAAGCAAGTTACTATAAAATTACAAGAATGCTGTATCACGAAAGAAAAGAACCTTTGCAGGAATTCGTTCATAAGATAATTTGCACTGGACGATGATTGTGAATTGGATGAATGGTACGGTAAACTTACATTTTCACCATCTGATTGCCTATGAAGAAGAAGAAGACGAAGAAATGCTTAGGTATCCTCAAAACAACTTTGTGACGATCTTGAACTATTCGAAATCTAAACTCACCACCGAGAAATTGTAAAAGATTTTTGTGAATTAAAATCATCGTGGAAAAAACTCTGATTCTCTTGTGCATATGTTAGATTGTTCATATTAGCTAATGTGACTGACGATCGCATCGGTGATAATACTGACAAAGCAGATAACGTAGGAATAATACCACCATTGTATGCTGTATCACGAGATGAAAGTTGAGAGAAAACTAAATGCAAAAAAAAAATTAATTCCAACATAAATATTTTAGAGCGAAAACATACTTGAATCAGGAGAACTTGATAGTTGTTCATCCATTGTACGTGTTTATCGATATTCGTTAAATAAATATAATCTGAATATGAAATATTTATGTTGTTATTTCGATATTTAAATTGATTTAAAGAAAGAAAGTTCACGAACTTATATTGCATTCATAAGAAAATTCACGACATTCGTCGTTGTCTACTGAGAAATACAGCTGACTAGTCGCAGCTTCACGTGCGGGTAAAGTAAAGAGAGCGAGCGAAAAGAGCGAAAACGAAGGAAATTCTGTCTATATGTATTATATATACAAAGTAGGCATCCGTAGAAAGAAAACAATGTGCATTGTATTTAGCTATTTCGAAATAAAATCAAAAGAGGTCACGTTGTATCACGCAACATTCTAGTCTTTAGATTAACATTGACAGACGTAATGATAATTACCATCTCATTGTTTGACAATTTTGCAAAAAGAATCAATGTTGTTTTTTCTTGGGCCTTATTTTAAAAACAACATAATGTACAGTTGCACCAAAGAGGATTTTCCAGTAAGATTTCTGTATTATTAATCTAATGGTTTCTATTAATTTATTGCTGTAAGTATTTTCACTGTCTTGAAATGTTCCAGTGAGCAGAGTACTTCATTGGCCTGGCAACGGTGGGTGCTGGAACATATTCTACTCATTTATTCATGCTGCGAACTAAATCTGCTCCATACGCACTGTGCGACTAATTGAGTCAGTAGGTTTCATTTTATCGTTCATACTGAAACAAAAACGATTCATATCCAACATATCAATTTGATTTTTCACATTACGAGAATTAAATTTTTCGGAAAAAACTGTGGCCAAGTAATTGAATAAAATAAGCTCCGCTAAACTGTCGTAACATATTTTGACTACATTTTCATACTAACCCGATCGTTTTGCTTTCGACAACCTAATGAGCAGAACGACCTTAATAATCAACTTCTATTTGACGTGCACTTCAGCACACAATCGATTGACATTTTCATTTGAAAACGTCTGGCTGAAATGTTTCCATAGAACTATAAACAGAGCAGTTCATCATTCTCCTGTTATTCGGATATTTGCCATCGACTAATTAGTTTGTTCAAGTCAAATAAAACTCTGACATGAAGAAATAATAATTATATTGACAAATATTCAAGGATATTTGATATTGCTCCACGGCCTTGAACGCGGCTTTTACAAATGAACAATTACGTAACAATTTCAATTTTCTTTGTAAATTCATGTCATTTGGTATCCTATTATTTTTTGTATTGGAAGTTCAGTTATAGAACCCCTTGAAAGCGACACTAAATTAATTCATGATCTTTCCACGTTAACTGAGTCGATTTTTTTCCTTTCCATGTGAAATGCTAGCGGTGTTCATTTACACCAACATATAAAATCCATTAATCTCAAGGTTAGACAGACTTCTACCTTGGAAACAATTTCCGATCAACTTGAATAGACGTATTCTTGCGAGAAAAACTTCACGATTCAAGCAATAAAAGTAAAGTTATGCAGCAAATAAAAAAGACTGTCTTTTTCGCAGTATCTTATCGCACATGATCATTGAATTGATAAGAAGATCAGGAACAAAAAAAAAAAACAGGAGAATAGAATACTTGAAAATATCTTCGATCCAGCATCTATTACGAGAAAAAAAGTGTTGACAGGATGAAAGAAAAGAACGAAGAATTGGAGCAGAAGAAGAAAGGCACACAGAAACATCTGCATCTATTGAGTTGCGTCGACAATATCTCCATGTTAACGGGCAACGTACACATCCACATACATAAGTTGAGCAATCCGGTGGAGTACAAACAATTATAATAAAATGAATAACAAAGACGACGACGAAGACGACGACAGTGAAGAAGAAGAAGTAGACATCGTTGATGATGATCCCATTAAGGATATATCTGAGAAATTAGTTCAATGTCCGGATTGCCAACGACGAATGCGGCCGGAAATTTTCTCAAAACATCCAAATGTCTGCCGTGAAAATCCAGCAAAAAAACGAAACATTCGTGTATTTGATATGACACAATATCGAGCAATAAGATCAGGTGACAAAGTTATACCAGTACAAAAAGTATCGCCTTTCAATGAAAATAAATTAAACAATCCTAATAGTAACAATAAGCGTCCATCGCAAACACGCAGCGCTAAACGTAACCGCCGACTGGATGATGTGGTCGTGCCACCTGTTATTAACAATTTCTGTATGTAATTTCAATTAACATTCTCTAACATATCGAATTTCCGGGTAAAAAAGGAAGTCATTAATTTGATAAACAGTCGTCTTCACCTTACAGTTTAATAAGGCTGCATAGAATCATTCTTCTGTGCAAGGTCATGATGTTCAAGAATGTTGATCTTTTGATAAAAAAAAGATTTTTTTCTCTCTTCATGAAATTGTATTGAACATATTAAAACCTTATGAAAGCATCGTAACGAAATCTTACAAGAGCATTAATGTGTAGATATTTCTTTCGTTGATAGATGCATGAATTACTATTTCTTCGCGAAAAAAAGAACGTTAACAACGACAATAAAATGTTAGTTATCTTTCTAACAGAACTTTATTTAAGATACTATGTAGAAAATTACATTTCATAATGTCAGTCTTGATCGAGGACTCGTTTTTCTCTTTCTTTGAAACACGACCGGGAGAGAAGTAGACATTTAGCACTCCTCTCCAACAGACATCTTAGCAACGAATCAATCATGGACATCTTAGCAACGAATCAATCATGGACATCTTAGCAACGAATCAATCATGGACATCTTAGCAACGTTGCTCCTCCCCGTCGCCTTAGGATCAAAGAACATTTATCAAGGACATTTCTTTGTAATATTTGAATTGCCTGTTTTTTTTTCTTAACCATATTTCTTGAGGAGCAAAGTAAGAGCAACGTATTCCGAAATAAATACAATAGAGCAATCGTTCTGTCTGTTAATGGCAAAGTCAAGCGCTCAAAAAAGTTTCTATCTCTATCAAGAATAACTATCGATTATACAAGAATAAAATCTTTTGAACTCTTATATAATCGCATTAATAGGATCATAATTATATGCAAAGTATATTTTTCAATTGATTTTAATCCTCTTAGGCTGTCCAAATTGTAAACGTACATTTTGTGAAAAAGCTTATGATCGTCATGTAACGTTCTGTTCAAGCAAATCAAAACAATTACAGCAGCCACCATCAGAAGAAACAGTTCAAGCTCGAAATAAACTCGATCGACGAATAAAATTTGCCGCGACTCGTCCAGCCGCAACTTTTGCCAATACAGCACCTGCTATCATCACAACTGCTCAACCATCTGTTACCCCTCCTAGAATCGAAAAACAGCCAATACAAAAAAAATCATCATTACCAACTGAAAAATTTTGTTTTTTATCAATACGAAAAAAACCTTCCGATGCACTAGCACGTTGTCCGTGGTGTGCAAAACCTTATTTGCCGAATTGTATACATTATTGTAGAAATTCAAAAGAATTATTTTCAATTCATTCGAAATAAAATAATTTCACTATCAAAACAAAAATGAATATATGTATCTTTGAAAGGCAAAAGACAAAAACAAATCGTTATGAATCATAGAAAAATTTAACTAGATAATAACGAATAAAAAATGGAAGTGCAGTACCAAATATAATCTAAAATAGAATAAATTTCTTCTTCTTACTGTAAATTTATCAATATCTATAATTAACCTGTATGAGAAGTAAAATTTGAGTAAGTGTTGCTTCATGTAATGGACCAGCCCAACAAAGTACTGTATTAATGATAGTAAAATTAGTTGTTGCAATCATTACTTCATTGTCATGCATTTTATATTCTCGGTATCTTACGCATTTAATTGCTGAGAAAAATCGTAACATTAACCAACCAAGTGGTTTTAAATCCTTTTTTTTAAATTCAACTTCCGACGGATTCAATTTATTTAATTCCGGATTTAATCTAAATATAAATCCTGGTTTTTATTGCATAGATTTGAGAACGTTAAAATTACCTTGGTAAACGATGTCTTGGGCATGGAATAAAATGAAACAATTGAGGTATTGATAGAAGAAAATTAGCAATTTGAGGTATAAAGAAAAGTAACATGGTCTTACTAAAATGACCAAGAATACCAACTACTGCAAATGTCATACCAGAAAAATAACAGAGCGTATCGCCAACAAAGATTTGTGCTGGACACCAATTTCGAAGTAAAATTGGAAAGGTACAGCCAATAAATGGTATCATAAAATACAGCGAAAAAAGATGCTCCTCTGAGCAAGAACCTAAAAAATAATACATAGTATCGAATAAATTTATTTCATTTGAAAGGTATCCAGTGAAGACGGAAGTGTCTGATAATTTCATTTTAGGTCTAGGATAAATGCTAACTGAACCAACTTCATACTCTATAGCTTTTTGTTTTGAACGGAAAACAAAATTTTCTACGTACACTCAACTCACTCCTTCTTTGAATATGAATACTTTGGAATAAATCTAATCGAATAATTTGATTTTCAATGAAAAAAAATTCTTTACAAACCTTGCAATTCAACAAGATTAAACATAAGTATTGAACTTGCAATTACAATCGATTGACCAACTTCAAGCCCATTTACACCTGCTAGAATATTTATTGCATTTGTACAAAATACAGATACCATACTCATATAGGCATAATATAGAATACCTAAAGAAAAATATCGTGATAAACACTGATTAACTAATCGATCCTACCAAGATTCCATTGATGGCCTAGCAATGGTCTTACGGGTTTAGGAAGAATAATAGTTGTAGAATGATAATTAGCAAAATAAACTAATAGCAATGGTAACGAGGCAATCAATGGTAACAACAATTTAACACTCCAACGTAAATCAAGTACGTCATCTGCAAAACCAAGTAGCACCATACAACATATAGATAATAAAGCAGCTAAATATTCAATAAACTTTAAAAAAAATAAAATAAAACCAATTATTAAATTTTCTCAAAGAAAAATATTTACTTTATTATGTGGAAAATCGCTTAGCGGATGTAAATGTTCAGAAAATACAATAGCTATCATAATAAACATTAATATAAGAAAAATACCAGCTGCTATCACACCCTGAGATTCTGCACTAGAAAAATAAAAGATTTGACTTTGTTCTATTCTCTCTGATCTAACTTACATTTTAACTTCTTTTGAATTTCTTTTATTTAAATCATATCCCCATAATTGAGCTCGAATAAATTTCTCTTTCAAAATTGGAATTAAACGATTAACAATTATACCGCCAACAATCGAAATCAAAATATCAAATACAAGTGTAAATAGATCAAAACGATCTATTGCTGATGCATGATTTTGTTTCATTCTAGAAATCAAATAAGAAAGAAAAACCGAAACTAATTGTTTGCTTCCATACTGATGCACGGAGATAGTATTTTTTATACAAAAAGAAAAGAAAAGAAATAGGCAGGAAGGAAGATACAAGTCGTAATATATAGTCTAACAAGGGAAAAAACAAACGGACAGGATGATGTTTAAATTTAATTAGTTTATCGAATTTCCATTGGCATGGGAATGCTCTTGATGTATTCTTTCGTTTTATTTTCATATTCCCGTTCAATTGCCCATCCTTTAAGATCAATTTCAGGATGACGACGCATCCATATCATAAGATGTTTCTGTTTCATGTAAGCATCAACACAACTGTGTGGTACACCCATTTCGCCATATTTCTGATACCAATTAGCATGTGATTCAAATAGTGCATCTTTCTCTTTGGCACATTTGTCTAGTGCATCAATACGACCTTCATAAGCAATGCAGCGTGTTAAACGATCATGAAGAATTTCTACGATCATTGTATCAATACGTTTTTCACGTAGATAAGCCATTTCAGCCTCATAGAAACAAACTTGATCTTGAATTTCACATTGATCTATTGTTTTTACGGGATTAAATTTACGATGATAATATGGATATGCTGGACCACGAAGACGTTCGACAACATTTTGATGAAACCATCGAACTGGTCGTAAATAAAGCATATCTATTGTGGAATAACCAAGATCGGACCATTTACTAACTCCATAGACATGCTCATGTGATGTTGGTTCTGGCATTTTAAATCTATGAAATAATAAATGAAATAAGTTTTCCTAATACCACCTCAGATTCTTAATCTTAATCGAAGTTTTTCGCAAAAAAAGCAAAAGAAAACATATCGACATGTTTGGGTTATTTGGCTATACTAGCGCTAGTTCGTTCTGATTGGATGTAGTGCTAATTATTGATTATAATAAATATAGAGAAAAGAATTTAACTTATAAAGAAAAAAAAAACATTATCTTTGAATTTGAAAAATTTATTTTTCATAATAAAAAAACTTTGATTCAATTATCATTTGTCAATTCAATGAACCATTCAGAAAAATATCACTTAAAGTACATCATTTCGAATGGCAGGCGTAGCAAGCAGAAATGATCATAATTCATCTGAATATTTAATGATTCAGTCAAATACATATTTCAAAGATATTTTTACTTCAAAACTCTTGGCTTTGAATTGTTTGATAATCATGATTTAAATGAGACGCACATAGCAGTTGAAACTGTGAAATAGTTCAATCTCGTTCATGTGTCGCAGTCAATAGACTTATAAATATTGGATCATCTCTCATTGTATTCTCTTTAAAAGATTTTATTTATTGCAACGTTCTTAATAGAAATCTAGAATAGGATGTAGACATACACTCTACTTTTCCGTGTAGCGTGTAACTGTACACTTTACTTCGGAGATCGAAATGTACAAAATGTACAAGAAATTAAAATGTTGATTTCTAGAGATAAAAAACTTCTATTAAAAAGTTACCTTCATTTTATTCCTCACGTTAATGAGCGCACGAAAATTTTAAATTTAAACTAAAGCAAATTTACTTTAAGATAGATTCTTCTCTGCTGTTTTTCTTTTTTTTTATCGTTTTCCAAAAATGATTTCATTATCACGATGTTCATATCGGACTGTGCAGGGTGTGGGTGTGCGTAAAGAAGAGACCCACACCCACCCTGTGTACATTTGTGTTTGGTATTAGAAAAACTATTTCTGATTCTGATGAAAGGAGTTATTAGCTTTTGTTTTCTTTAGTCAATTTATACCCACAGTTAAGTGATAGTAAAAGATGTCGGTTTTTGTTGCAGCAGGCAAGCCACAGTATGACTCACGGAGCACATCAAAAATACCTACTATTTAACTTTACAGAATAAAAACCAAAAAAGCTCGGTAAAGTTTATGCGAATAAAATAGAAAAATATATTTATGTATTGATAAATGTGTTTAGATTAATTCAAAGAGACGTCGCCATAGAAAGATGATATTCATTTTTGTGTAGTCGATGAGATATTGATAAAGTTATTTCAGATAAACATGAAAGAAATTGATTTTATTCAAACAATCAAACATTCGCTAGTAGTATGTTTTTTTTTACTTTAAATAAAATAACAAAAATCTTTCTATAAAAAAAAAAGTTTAGGCTGGTTCAATAGCTGGATGTGCAGTTGATTTATCATTGTATCCAATAGATACAATCAAAACTCGTCTTCAAGAAAAAAAAAACCTTAATAGACGATTATTATTTTCATCATTATATTCTGGTGTTGGTTCTGTATTAATTGGTAGTGGTCCAGCGTCTGCATTATTTTTTCTTGGATACAATTTAACTAAACAAACAGTTCATTTATCATCACAATGGCAAACTCATATGATTGCTGCAATTCTTGGAGAAATTGTATGAAAAATAGACAAATCTTTCGAATAAAAAAGTCATTTCTTTTAAAAACTAATATTTAGTGTGCATGTCTTGTACGTGTTCCTGTTGAAGTTGTTAAACAACGAGCACAAGTTAATCGAAATTCACGTTTATTAACGATTGCACAATCGTGTCTCCGCGATGAAGTTGGCATCAGATTTTTTATTTTTCATTCAAAACTTCTTTTTTTCTTCAAAGGGTTTATTCGGTCTTTATCGAGGATATTTTGCAACCTTATCAAGAGAAATTCCTTTTTCAATAATTCAATTTCCACTCTGGGAATTCTTTAAAGTTTGTTTTCGAATTTCATTTTTTTACTGAATATTTATTTCAAAGAAAAAACAAAAAGGAATCTTGGAGAAAGCAACAGAATCAAGATTTATCTCCATGGCAAGGAGCTTTGTGTGGATCTCTTGCTGGTGGAATAGCAGCATCAATTACAACTCCATTTGGTAAAATTTTAATTTTATTCTGTTCTTTAAAAATATTGAAATAATTTGTTATTTTATTTAGATGTTGCTAAAACACGAATAATGCTTGCTCATGTAAATATTTGAAATAAGCTGTTTTTTCTTCACTTAAATCAAATTTCTTTTCGCAGCATTCTCATACCGATGCAGCTTCTCATTCGTTGAAAATTATGAAAAACATTTTCCAACAAGAAGGTTTTTCAGCGTAAGTTTTTCTCGAAAAAAAAAAATTTCAATTAGCATACAATGTATTCTTTTTATTTTAAATAAGTTTGTACAGTGGCGTTCTTCCTCGTACCATGTGGATATCAATCGGTGGTTTTGTCTATTTTGGTGCTTTTGAACTGGCCACATCGTTATTTTTTTCTCAAAATAGTCAGATTTAACTTCTTTTTTAATTTGTTTTTGTTTAAAAATTTCAATAAAAAATGAAGTTTTTGTTTTCAGATTTGGCTTTTTATTCAATCAAAATTTTCTAGAAATTTAACTCCACTACTAAATCTTTTACATTACATATTCGTATTTATTTACAAGCATCTTTCGAGTCAACTAAGAAGCACAAGTTTTCATCTCATGAAAATTCATTTCATCAGAAACGAAACTAATATCAATTTCAGATCTTTTTCTATCTAAAATCTGACTTGCTTTTCTTTCATGATACAGTCACGTATCAATAGGTCTCCGCTGTAAAATTTTCGTTTAATCAAATATTTATATCTCGTATCATTATAATATTCAATAGATAGTTTTCAATAGCCTCTGAATAGTGGCATCTTCAAGAGATTATGTGTGACTAAAATGTCTATAACATTTAAAGTATTATGTATAAGTATTTGATTAAATTTGATGAAAATAGTTAGAAGAATATAAAATATCTAGCAATTATTACCGACAAAGAAGAATGTTTGTTAAATAAATTTCGTACTGAAACAGTTCGAATTTTGTGTCTCCAATAGAGAACTTAATTTTTTTAGTATTATTTCTACAACAGTCCCTTAAAAATGTCTTTTACGTTTTACAACAAGTATTTAAAACGACAAAATTTCGATCATAGACTTCAAGATACACATTTTACATTTTTATTGAGAAACGTATTATCATTTTTGTTATTTTATTTAAAGGTTGTAATTATAACCTGTTTGATTCTATCAAATCGATTTCCGGGACGGATTTTTCCGGTGATTTCCGGCGGGAACCAACAGGAACTTGGCGGAATTTACAGGAAAAATCGGTAGATTTCCCGATCCGGAATACTGCTTCCGTGAAATCGCGGGAATGCGCGGGAACCGGCCGTTTCCCGGGCCGGTTGCTGCGACCTGGGTTATTTTGTGTATGATTATAGCATGAAACTATCCAAAACATGGTATTATAGACGATATCGTTGGTTTTTACGCCAAGACTGCTATTATATCATAGATGCCAATCGATAGAGCTTGAACAGCTGGATCTGACATAAGTGGTTTTAAACTCAACTCAGGTTTATAAATGAATTGAGGCTAGAAAATCTTGAATGTCGTGCTAACTTTGCCTACGTTAATGTAAAAGTATTAAATGGGTGTGGGTCTCGGTCTCGATCTCGATCTGGGTGTGGGTGTGGATATAGCCGTTTTCAAAACAAGGAAAAGTTACCATCAGCCACAGTCAAACTCATTCCCACACCCACACCCTAGAAAGTTGATAATGGTGCTGATAAGCCTAAATTTCGCGCTATTAACGTATTAAAAGGAACCTCTTGGGTATACATGGTTACGTTGCGACCGATCACATGTATTTTGAGAACAAAAGTCCTATAAGAATTCATTTGAGGATACTATGTTCTTTGGTCAAAATGTAGCTTATGGAGTTCTGTGGGTGTTCGCAAGAAAAAGTTTAAGGTGTTTGCGTAGACTATAGCTGAGATTCTGGGTGTTCGTGTTGAGAGGGGTCATTTTTTAGTCTTTGTTGACAGTTTTTTTTTCATTGTTGCTCCTAGAAAATGGGTGTTCGTAAAGATGACTTATATGCGATCTCACAAACTTGGCTGTTCGTGGTGTTTGCGTAAATTAGTAATACCCCCATGTTGCGAATACCGGATCAATTTTTGCGGTAAACCGCGGTATTTATCCGTTCTGCGGTAGTGGGAGCCGGTAACCGGACCGGTAAAACCGCGGTAAACCGGCGTTTTTTTGCGCATGTTCATCACATGTAAAAGTAAAAAAAAAGGATCTTTAAAATAGTTTAATTGATGATTTGGAAGACTTTTTCTGTCAAAAATTATAGATGATCCGGTTAACCGCTTTTTTTTAGCGGTAACCGCGGTATTTATCCGTTCTGCGATAATGAGAGCCGGTAACCGGACCGGTAAAACCGCGATTAACCGCCGATTTTCATGCGGTTTTTATTACATGGGCCCATTCTCACGAGAGTTGCTTTACTTCCTAGGGCTTTTTTTTTAATTTTAAAAGGCGACGAAATAAGCAGAAGCAGAACAGAAAATGTTATCATCTTGCGAAATGTAAGAAGCGAGTCATTTGATAAAAACAAGCAAATGATATAGGGAACGAAAATTCTTATCAACAATAACACATTGAAACTTCCAAGTATACTTCAGTTTCTATAACTTCGGTGTAGTAAGCAAAAGAAATAATTTTCATTGTAAGATCACTATTAATATCTAGAAACTGAGTACGGTCTATTTCCTTTTTTTACTGCTTCATTCTATTGCAGAAATGAAATTAAGAACCACTTAAACAACGTAACTGCGAATTCAATGGAGTCATCTCTATAGAGCACGATTGGAATTTTTCATTTTCGATATGGACGACACTTATGATATGAAAGCTTTCGAGTTTCAGGATGCGAGTGTAGTGTATCGGCATTTGATAGGCGTTGCGTGAGCTCAGTAGAAGAGCCTCACACCAGTTCGTGCAGAAGGATCAGTAAAATACTCATCCATCTGGTTCATCTGTCTCGTTCAAGATAAAAGCATCATCAGAAACCGGAAAGGTATCTGGGTGTGATTTTTAGTGAAGAGAAGAACTACATTCTCCTCCTAATCATCCAAAACTTTGGATTACTAACCAATGACTCTCAGTGACACCCAATAGTTTTTAAGAGCAGTGCGAAACGGGTGTGAGAACAAGAAACTTTACCAGTTTATTATTTCATACAATTTTGGCTGGAAGATTGTTCCCCAAAAAAAGACACTTAGAAGCAACAGTAGAATTCTTAGGAAATTACTGTTTCAGTGCCCCTTCAAAAATATTCAGGGAATTGATCTAAGTCTTTAGATGACAGAGCAAATTATCGGGTCTGAAACAGATATCAGATAGGGAAACCAATGAAAAGGGAAATGGTGGTTTCGATTGAGGGTGTGGGTGTGGGTGTGTTTATTTCACTCTTCTGCTTGCCACACCCACATCCTCAAAACGTCACTTCAAAATATTCATATTCGCGCAGAAGATAAATATGTAAGCGAATGAAAGACTTTTCGAAGACATATTACGTCCTACACGGTTAGTCTATATTAATGTGATGGCGCTACCGTATTTCTGTATTTTAGATTGTAACGGGGGGAAAGTTGCACCTACAATTTTGTCTGTGACTAGACATTTCATGGCACAAGAAACTCATAATAGAAAAAGTCAAACAGTAAAGTTTCGGGATCACATTGTTGATATACAAACCGTTAAAATTAATGACATCGAGTGCCTGCGTCTAAGAGATGTTCAACTACGGTTTGATACGGTCAGGGCCTTTCAGATTGACAATGTACAGCAAGCATTCCTTCACGACGAACATGGTAATGATCTCGAGCCGTTGCGTATTGTTGCATGCATTGGGCAAATTGTTGAAGCAGTAGAATCTATGAAAGATTTCAGTAATGACACTCATGGTCAACTGGTTCGAATTGAAGGTAAAATTGATCGTATCGACATCAATGTACAGGAGATAATGCGCCAGATTGCTAATGTGATGAGGCAAATGTATGAACTGCATGAGTATACTACACCTCGCTATTTTTTCATCTTGCCCGCAAAGCATAGCGACATGATGCTGATCGACGCCGTACAAAACTGGTTTCACACTCACTATAAACTCTATTTTCTATGTGAATGTTCACATGATCCAAAAGAAATGCATGTCGCTCCACATGAAGGTTATTCAATTAAAAGGGCGAGAGATTTCGTCGTAAAATATGCACCATATTTAAGAACAACTATACAAATTGCTCAAGTTCTACTTTCTGTCGGAGGTCTTGTTATTCCACAACTAGAAAATGTATCAAAAGTTATCGATGATGTAATACCGTCGCAATTCAAAAACCCTAAGTGCTACGAAGATATGAAACAACAATTACAAATGGTAGATGATTTACTCAATAAAGTCGACAACCAACGAAATCGTGCAGGTGCTTCCATAATTAGCAAACAGAAGTTAAAAGGAACACCATTGCAAGGCACAGAACTACGAGAAATTCAAACATATCTAGAACTTGTAGATGATAAACGTAGCTTAGGAAATCTATACCGAATAGTCACTGATGACGGTTATATTCGTTGGGTCTGTCACAAACACTATGATGAGGCTAGTTACAACAATGAAATGAGCAAATACATCAATGAATTTAAAGCCATGGGAGGTAAATTCGATGAGACGACTAACGAAGCACTTATAAATCAAGTGAATATTACTAAAGAAAATGTTGAAATGATGTGCAAGGCTCTTGAGAAGGGTTTTAATATTGAGAAGCTAATATGTCGAGAATGTTCAATCGGCGAAAATGATCTAAAAAAACTGCTTGACATCATCATTAATCGTTCTTCAATTCGTTGTCTAAATATGGGTTCGGTTCGTGTACGAAACGTTTTTGGAATCACAAAGTATACTTGTCAAGAAATGGTCGCAGAGTTCAATAATCAAACAATGAAAGTTCGTTTCTGCAACAGTAATCAAGATGCAAATGTGCAGATACTCGGTCGACTTTTGCTACAAAACAAAATATATCGAAGCTTAGATTTCTCTGCAAGTGACTTTATTTGTCGAGAATCGGATCTTCAGCGACATCTTCAATCTAATTCAATTCTAACCGAACTGTTTGTGGAGAAAACCAACAGTATCAATATTCTGAATAGTATCTTTAATTGGAAGATAAATGCACTTCAGCGACTGAAACTGACTCACTCACTGTACGACTCCTCAACATTGTCTCATTTCTGTGAAATGTTGAAGAAAAACAAAACGCTTGTCGAAATCGACCTGATGGATCGTAATGGGTTTAAAGACGAAATTTTCATCAATAATCTATTGAGTATATTGAAAGAGCATAACTCAATTAAATATTTGAATCTGCACATTGTAGATGTGCAACCATCGAATCAAAAGGAAGCTTGCCTAATTGAATCATTGCAACACGATGAATTTATTTCACGTCTTTGTATATCGTCATCAACTATCTCGTCTAAACTCACAAAAGCACTTCTTCATGCTGGAGAAAAACGTGATACATTCACATATTTAGAGCTTTACAATTGTCAAGTGAGGCACGATGAACAAGCAAAACTACAATCGTTGTATGAAAATGGACGTTTGCACCAATTGGGCTTTTATGAGCAACCGCGTTGGCTTATGATGCTTGAGAAAACAAACGAGTCGTTAAACAGAGGTAAGAAAAACAAAAAGTCGACTTCCACCATTAATAATGTGAATGGCGTAGAGGATGAGCAGCACATTCATATGCAGTATTGATCTTATAATTTCGTAAATATTCATTTGAAGTTTCAAGAGACAGTGGAAAAGGATTCGGGCATTTTTCAAAGCCAATATCATTTTTAAAATAGTGGGCTTAATTATTTTGATTGAAGACGAAGACTCCAGTGTTTCTCGTTTCTCCGTTGCATCTATCAATATGTGAAGTTCTCAAGAATAATTTGATTAGAACTGTTTTCCGAAAAAAAAAACAATTCTCTTATATTCGCCAACAACTTTTTAAAAGTGTAAAGATTGATGTCTTGAAATGGATTTTCATGTTGAATGAAGAAATATTTCAAGCCATGGAGAAGAAAACGTCTGAAAAAGTCTACAGTTGTAATTTTCTGCCAAGTCTATTTTTAGTAGCTCTGGCAATCGATGCCGTTTCTTTCATGCGTTTTTTATTTCCGAAATTAGACTTAGTTGAGGATGTCTCAACAGTTCTAATTAGATGAATCAATGAATTTTCTAGTAATCTCAAAGTAGCTATTCTATCGTTGTCACCTACTCATCTCGACCACTTAATATCAGAAAGTAAGTGTGCAGAATCGTTTTCCCGTCAATCCTTTAGTTATTGATTCATAAAATACCAGCTCTTTTTTAATCATCTTTAGTCAAACGAAAAGATAAATGCTAGAGTTGTATTCAGAGGAGAAAACTAACTCCTCAAGATATTTTTATTATTTTCCTCGCAGTTTTTATGAGCTTAGAATATTAATTTAGCTGAACGTTATAATTTCAGTAACGTTAACCATAATATGCCAGTTTATGTAGAAAATACTTTAATACATCATTAAGCTTTTAATATACAGCTCTAAAAACGTGTGGGTGTGTGGATGGGTGAGCGGTTTCCTCTTGTCCCTTCCATGTCTCCCTTTCTCTGTAAAATAGATGTGACCCCTCCATACTACTATACCGCTATATAAGTATACCACTATACTATTATAACACTATAGTGGTATAGCAGTATAAGCATTTTGAATTTGCCATAAATTCAAATTCTTCGCCAACTCACTTTTTCCTTTAGTTGAAAAACCAATGGATAAGGCTGTTACAATAAAATAGATCTTTTGAATCTTGCAAAATCTGTTTGTTTTGACGTGAAGTACGCATTAATACTTCAGTGACGTTTTAGTCTTTAGTTTTATGGTATTCATAAAATCAGAGAAAAATATAGAAACTGACTGTTCGAGTTTTATTAAAATGCTACTTCGAACAGCGACTTTTCCCTTCAAAATATTAAAGATAACACATAAATTTACTTTCTGAGCATCAACAATCAATGACGTTTTTGAAAGAACATACGACATGATCGTTGGAATACCTTTAGTTAAACAAAACTTTTGATTAGATCTCTTTTAAATTGCCGTTGTAAAATAGCAGATGAAGATATTGCAGCAAGACGTTTTTACCGGCACGGTTAAGTAAATTAGTTTGCCCGTCAATAAAAAAATGATACCTTAATAATAACATCAAGAACAAGTCAATCAAATCGACTGATACACGCGTTCAAAATGATCAATAAATATTTCAAAAACAAAATTTTATTTATACACAATACTTCATCTATCAGTTTCAATGCTTCGACTTTTTGCTTGAAGTATTATTATTATTTACTGCCACTGATAATAATGCTTTTGTTATAAGACGAAGAACATAGAGGAAAGTAAATTTGATAGTGAACGTTATTGATTGAAGAATTGTACCGTACACTCTTAGTTCTTATCGAAGCTAAAACAAGTGTTCTTTCTAGCAGTGCTAGATGTTTTTCAGTTAGTGTTGTCAGAAGAAGAAATAGTTTACTAAAAAATTTTCTGATCTATCATAATTTTCCTCAGGAAAATAAGCAAGAAAAGAAATTATTTGAATTACATTTTTATTTGTAAATGCTTCATTAATCATACCATGTCTGCTTCGAAAAAAATAAGTATTAAATATTTTGTATACATGCAAAATATTATCAACAAAACTAAATATAAAAGAAAATAAATCATTTTACTTCTTAATCAGAATAACTTCAGAATATATCGAATTTATTTCCGTTCTAATTTTCTATCTTGACATTGATGCTACAATTTTAATATATAACACCTATAAATCTCACAACCGATATTAATTCTGGAATTAAGTCACAATTGAATTCTAATACACTGAAAAAACTGAGGTAAATACTACTCTTACTCCACTAAATGAAGATAAATAAAAATTTAGAAATAAACTACATTTTGTCTTATTTTGTGATGAAAATAATATATATCACAATCAGAACCATCCGTGATAAAACTACTGTTAATGCATATAGGATATAATACGAATTTCAACATCTTTATACTTATACTCTTAATTTCCTAGCCAATCCGAAAATGTTCTAATCGTTTCATCGATAAGTAAAAAGAAAATCAATTGTAGTAAAAGTATTGCGATATTTATATTTGATTTTTAATAATTTTGATTGAAGATGAAGAATTAATCGACAATAATCTGAAATTATAGAACCGATTACTTGATTTCTGTGTCAAAATATTTAATGAAAACATTAAGTGAGAAATTCTTTTTAAGATAAATTACATTTCGAACTGTTTCGTTGAATTCTTGGGTTAATTGATTAACTATAATTATCTATTAAAATAAATTCAATATAGAAACAAAAACATTACCTTCTCAAACGATTTTATTGTATGTAGAGTGTGGGTGTGGGTGTAGGTGTGTGTAAATTCCTTTGGTGCACCCACACCCACACCCTAGGTATGTTTGACAAATAGATCAATTATGATATTTAGTGTTAATCGGTGTAATAATAGAAATCTAATATATCCAAATGATTGATAGTTGATCAACTTGAGGAGATTCGTCGTATTTTAAAGACCTGCAAAAATATGAATTGTACAAGAGAGTAAAAACGATTGAATATTACCATTTGATGTTGTTGAACTGATTGATGAAGAAATAGAGATCGCGAGTACTTGCTAATGTGTGTTATTAAAATCATACAGAATTCAAATAAACGCTATTACCAATAGATTATAATAATAAAAACATTCGATAAAATCTGTAAGAACAGTTCGATCTCATTTTGGTGTTAAATGAATCAATGGGAATAATGTAATAGATTAACGCATCTTTCTGAAAACAACAAAATTTATATAAATCGATAGTGGAACCGTCGTTTTTAATATTCCTTTCATTTCTAATTGATTCGATAAATTTTGAGATCCAATTGTAGTAAACTCATGTCTACACAGAGACAGAGTGAGAGATAAAGTGTTGGTGAGGGGGAGAGTCTTTCCCTTCTCTCTCTTTTTTTTCTTGAAGTATTTATGAAAAAGAAACTTATCTAAGAGTATACTCAAGAGAGATTAGCTCTTTTCAGAGTACTTTTCATGTCTTCTTTTCTAATAATATTATCATTTCAGCAGAGAGAGAGAGAGAGATCTCCTTTGATTCTTATGTTTTCTTTTCTAGTTAATATTTCTGCTAATATCACAGAATGATTTATATAGAATTTAATAAAACATATTCTAGAATATAGAAGTAAGAAATATTCTATTTAGATTTAAGAGAACCAAAAAAACAATTCTAATAGCAAATATTTTCTTCATAGAAAAAGAAGCAAAATCTGATATTCAAGTTTAAAGATAAAAATACTACTCGATAATATATCTGTGCCAAGAAGTACGTCACTCATGAAGTACTGGATTTAATAGGTGGTTATAGAAACCGTCGAACCTCCACTTATTAATCATAGATGAGCCAATAAACATATCGCATTGACGTAATTAAGTTTACATCCTTGCGTATATGACATTAACACATCCCCGGTCGAAGAAAACGGTCAGTAAACGGTCGTATACGATACAAATACGGCCCGTTTTGCGTGCCGTATTTTACCCGTATAACAGGAGCAGTAATACGGCCGTATGTTCCCTGGACTGAACGTATAGGGTCTGGAAACCGTAATTCACCTGTGTCTGTCTGTCTGTTTGTAACACTGGCACAAATGACCATTTCTACGGCACAAACGGCCATTCTCAGGACATATTTTACTGGCGGATCCACGGAGAGTGCACGCAGAGGAGTCAGTTCTAATGACGGATCAAATGAACGGGCAGCCGGAATTCCCATAAGGAACTTTGGTCCCTCCTTGGTTAAATTTTTAAACGCTGTGACTCAGTACCTAGGTGAAAGTCAACCCTTCCCGCTGCTTAAAGATATTTAAGCCCTCTCGTGGGAATTGTCAACATTGTGCCGTGTTAGCTAGGTGGCTGTGAGCTTCCCCCCTCCCCCATCAGAAACAAAATCGGAGTTCAGGCACTGCTTCGCACCTGTATTTTGCCTTCATTTTCGCTGCGTTCTTATTCATAGTTTTTGGAAATTTCTCATTTTCTGCTTACCGGTACCCCACTTTCCTTTATTTGCCCTCCAGCTTCCATGTCTCGGTTGAATTTATTCAGCCTGCTTCTTGGAAATTTCAGAATCTTTGGAGTAAACAACCAACGAAGTGGACTGTTCCTATATTTGTATGTATGAATTCTGTCAGTCTAGGGCCCAGTGAATCGATTTTCGATTCACGTTACGGTAACGATCAGAGCTCCATGGGACAACCAAAAAGTTGTCCCGTCCCGTCTCGTTCTGCCATGTGTATGTAAGTTTTTTTTCCTCGATGTACAGTTGGAGAAGTGCAGCTAGTTTATATGTTTTTCATGTGAATAATTTATTTTACTATCGATCTTTTTAAATATTTCATCTACATCACAATAATTTGACAAGAAAAAGAAAAATTTAACAAGAGCTACACTCTCGTCCAGTAACTCATCAGAGAAAAAGTATATCACCATTATGATTAATGATGGTGGGGAAACCAAAAAAAAAATTCCAGCCGTTAGATGTATACTTGCCTGTATTATCTATAATAGTATATTGACTAGATTTCGTTTCGAGCATCAACTGAATTTGAGAACATGTGAGCTTATTAGAATCATCAGGAGAAAAGATCGATG